CTGGGTTAGCGGAGTCTGCAACCTGAAGCGTCTGTAACCTGAAGCGTATGTAACCCGAGGTACCACTGTATCTCTGCTTCTGTGGTGGTGTAGTGGTTAAAACTAGGACCTGAGAGACTTGGGTTCTAATCCCTGCTCAGTCATGAAGCTAACTAGATGGCCTTGGGCCAGTCAGATTCTGTCAGCCTAGCCTACCTCACAGGGTTGTTATCAGGGTAAAAAGAAGAGAACCATATGTGCCACCTTGAGCCACTTGGAGGAAAGGTGCAATAACAGTTTAAAATAATTTAATTCTCTTATTTCCCCTACTGCTTTTTACCCGACAACCACACCTGACTTTGGATTTAGGCACCCTTTGCAGAGAAGGTGAAGCCTTAATGCCCAATCTGCTCCTTCTCTGTTCCATTACACAAAGCTATGCTATTATTTTTCTCCTGCCCCTTTTCTTCCTGCTTCCCCTCACCTGGTTTCCATTCTTTGCTGCACCTTCTCTATTCCAGATTAGTATTGCCTTGGCATTAAATTTTTTGTCCACTGGTCAATTAAGCACAGCATATAATGAAAGGTCAGTGTGGGATTACTTCCTGATGCAAACAGAAGCTTCAAATGAGCAATTTTCATCAATACCACACTTAAGATTACTCCACTTCTCTGCCTGCTCCAGTCCCGATAATTATCAGCGTGTGAGTACACACAGCGGGCGCATGTTAAATTCAAAGATGCTTTTATTGTCATGGCATCAAGAAGTATTTTTTATTTGCACTGTGCGTTAAATCCCATTTGCCATTTTAAGGTTCATTCACTCCATTTGGACAGATCCTGTTGGAGCTCTTTGCAATCCCACTTTATATTTACCAGCTTGAATAACTGGGTGTCATCAACAAACTTAGCCATGTTAATGCACACCTGCCGGGGTGTGTGTGTGTGTGTGTGTGGACTGTAGCTTAGTGGTAGAGCATCTGCCTTATAAGCAGAAGGCTGTGGGTTCAATTCTCAGCATCTCAAGACAGAACTAGGAATGATCACTGCCTGAAACCTTGGAGAATTGCAGCCTATCAGTGTAGACGCTACCAAGTTAATGGTCTGTCTTGGTTTAAGGCAGCTTCCTGTTTTCCTGCAGCTAATTTGGCTCCAAATGTGATGTCAGGAGCCATCCATGTTTTACCCATATAAAACTATGGCTTCCTAGCTGCCACTGAATCTCGAGCACCAGCAGAGAACATGCAAAGCTGTGCATGGGCTGGGACAGGGAACTTCACATATTCACATTTGAATAATAATTGTTGATAAATTGGAAAAAATAACCAGGAACATTATGTCTGGGAAACAGGGCCAATTAAGTGTAGTGGATGGAGTTTTGGACTTACTCCTGGGAGACCTGAGCAAACCATGAAGCTCACTGGGTGATCTCATGCCAGATGTTGTATCTTGGATTAACCTATCTACAGGGCTGTTGGAAGGACAAAATGTAGGATAGAGACCAGGGATACCTCCTAAAAGCGATTGCTCCTAAAAATGTAATGAATGAATGAAATTTTCAGCAGTCATGTAAATGGGGTAGAAGAGGTTCGGACATGTCGCAGTGCACTTGTGTAATAGCCAGAACCATAGCCCACAGTGTTCATTAAGAAAACCCTCTCTTCTCTCACATTTTGCAGAAATGACTACAAAACAACAACAACAAAAATAACCTCTTTTGTGTAACTGCCTTCTCATTTCCCCTCAGCACTCAACTTTTGACAAGAAGACCAATGAAAAGCTGGCTAAGAGGCAAACTAAACATTACATAGCAATGTGTCTAACAAAGCACAAATTGATTTTCAATGAAAAGCAGCCATGGGGGAGTGCAGTTTTGAGCAGATTGGCAGTGGGGGACAAGGGGATGTTCCCAATGGCTCAAAATCTATTGCCCTGTGGGGGAAGATAGAAAGAACAGCCTAGAGAGTGGTCCCCTGTCTCACTTCTGCTGTTTGTATGGAAGGCCCCCGTAGAGGTCCATTTTATTGTGCATTCATGATATGTGGTCATGATGCTATTTGGGTCACTATTGGTGACTGCAACAGTTCTGGGGTAGTCACACTGCTTCATTTTCATTTAGTGCATATCCTGTAACTTCCTGTGACTTAACCATACCACAAAAGTTCTGGGTGGTGGTGTTGCCCCACTTTTTTTGCACTATCGCCCCTCCAGACACCAATAATATGGTAGCATTGGGAAAACCTTGAAGAACAAACTACCTGAAAAATCACATCTCCTTATACAAATCTTCCAGGGTGCTAAGGTCCTTGGGCAAGCACCTTCTCTTCATCCCACCAACATCAGCATCACTGTTGGTGGTGACACAGGAGAGAGCCTTCTCTGTGGCTGCTCCCATATTGTGGAATTCCTTCCCAAGAGAGTTTAGATGGCTCCCTCTTTGTTATCCTTTTGCCAGCAGGCTAAGACCTTCCTATTCAGACAGGCTTTTGAAAATGAAAGGTGCAGGCGGTGCTGATCACTGGGTTGCTGTCAGGGCAAACTGTATTTTAATTTCTGGTTCTAAATGTGTTCTGGTGTATTTTAATTATTGTTTTTATCTAGTTCATTTTTATTACTTTGCAGTTTATAATGTCATTTTTAAATGCTGTAAGCCGCCTTGAATCCCAGTTCGGGAGAAAGGAGGGATATAGATACATTAAATAAATAAGCAAGCAAGCAAACTAAAACAGAAATAATCCACCACGAATTCACTATTATTGTGTCAAGAATTTGTCGCAGGATGCACCAACAATAAAATAAGGGGTTCTTTGGTGGCCTCTGACTTCCCTGACTCCTGCCAAAGGGCTGCTCCAGAAGCACCTTGCCTCAAGGGGCAGAGAGAGCCCGGCTCTTTTCATTGTACCTCATCTTGCTGCTTTATTATACAGTTTTGATTGATGCTTTAAACATTCTTATAAAAAAAATTATTAAAAAAAAAGTACACTAAAAATTGATGTTAGGGTTGCTTGAAAAGCAGCTTATGAATACCTTAGATTTCATTTGTTTATTTGCCTTGCTAAATTTATATACCATTTTAGTGTTGTAAGACATCCTCAAAGTTGTAAGACATCCTCAAATGTTAAATAGAACATTTAAATTATTGATAAGAAACAGTTAAAATCACACGCAACTTCTACATAGCTGGATAGACTTACCTAAATAAAAATGGATTTCAGCAGGTGCAGCAAAAGTGTGTGTAGGGAGACAAAAGTTCAGGAACTTAGAAAGTGCAGTTACTGCCACACTAAGAAACTGACTTCGTGTAAGCCAGATGAATGTTTTGTGGCACCTGTAACAGTGCCGAATAAACAAATAAAATCACTCTCACACATACTTCTGGAATATACCACAGGGGTACCACTGCACAGCTTTGAGTGTGGAAAACAGCTAGTAGAGAAAAAGTGAAGAGTTCTCTCTCCCCCACCACTCCTCTGCTCAAAATAACCACCTCCTGAGCCTTATCTAGGGTGGCCATGAGTCCTGCTTTATTGAGGACAGTGCTCTGTTTGAAGAGCAGTCTGCTCCAAATCTGGTTTAAAAATAAAGAGCCTTGAAGTTCTCGATCAACAGCACCTGGACAGCAAACTGAGCAAGCAAAACAGGTCACCTGGTCAAAATCTTCGCCAATATGGTGAGATATGTTGTATTTCTATTTAAATTATAATTCTTCTAAATTTGCATCAATACATTTAAAATAAATACATGCAAATATCATCCAAATGTACACACTCTTTTCTCCTATTGATATATTCCTCTTTTGTGGTGATGCGTCAGTGGCAAGCCAAGGCTTATGTAGGCTGTTTGTTTCCCTAGCTGTCTGTTTGTCCATCCATTCCAAAAAGTGGGAGGAAGAGACTTTATCCCATGTAGCACTAAGTAACTCATTCCATTGGCACAAGGATTTCTCCCCTTTTTTATTAATAGTTTTAAACTGAATTTTCCAAAAAGGAAACAGAAACAATTGCAGTCAGAAAATACAAACTGAATAAATCAAGACAATGTGTACTATGCATGCGAGTTAGGGGGAGAAGGGGGGAATGGCTGGTGGCCCACTCCACCCCAGTACTCAGACATTCAAGCAAATAGCTTTGTATAAGAAGTCCATATATCTTCCCATTTTCCTGTGTTTACAGAAGGTCACCTCCTCATATGCTGCCAGCTGAGTCCTGTCCTCTGTGTGCTGCACAATCACAGCAGTAGGCTCTTTCTTGTTATCTTGAATGGTTAGCTGTTAGACCATGAGTGCTCTTAGAAATCAGTCCCTTAGAAGACAAGTTCCAAAGGACTGGTATGTAACTCAGTAGTGTAGTAACAGCTGTAAGGACTTATGCCCAGTTACCTTCCCTCCACTCTTTCCAGGCACAATCTGCACTTTAAAGCTCCGTGTCTGAGTACCCTTTTTTTTTCCTCCAGAGCTTTTACCATGGAAACTCGCTCTTTAAATCTCAGTCAGTGCAAATGGCAATCTGCAGAAAACCCAAATTGACATTTGTTTTGATTGAGCACTAAAGAACAGGTTTTTGCAGGGAAAGTTCCAGGGCAAAAAAGGAACAATGCTCAGACACAAAACGTTTAAGCATGGACATGTGCCTGAAAGTAGCAGGGCAAATTGCAAGTGTGGATAAGCCCTAAATATCAAGGAGGTATCCAAATCCATATTTATGCTGCTGATGACTTCTAACCAAAAGACTGTGACTCTAGCAGAAGACCAAATCAACAATGATTCACACTTGTGCAGTAGAACTTCCTATCCCTGTACACGCACACAACCAGTCTGTTCTGGTTCCCCAGTACCAATCCTATGGAGCAGATTTGGCGAGTGGGTGAAAGTTCTGCTCAGCAAGCATAAATCCTTGCGCTAATAGAATGAGTGCATTGGATAACACCTGAAGTCACGGCTTTCTTCCTTGAAGCATTTGCTCCATGAAGGCGAGAAACAAAATCCTGTTCCATTCTTCCCATTTGGCTTGTTTTTCGGCTAGGTGAACACAGCCATGCATGAGGCCAAACTGATGGAGGAGTGCGACGAGCTAATGGAGATCATCCGTCAGCGCAAGCAAGTGATTGCCGTCAAGATCAAAGAGACAAAGGTAGGACCATGCTGCCTAATTTACTGTTGCCCCTCTGCACTCTGGTATGACCTGTTACGTCACCCTTAATTCTGTGAACCATTTGCTTGTGTAATTAATTTCTTTATTTTTCAGTGGCTGTATATCTTTCGAAATTTCCCACTGAGATGGGAATAAAAGGCTGTGTATTCATCATCCAGAATTCACCTCCACAGTCATTTACGGACACATGGTTAAGACTTTTTTTCAGGGAAGACAATCTTACTTGGCTATGAGTGATCGCCAAAGAAGAAGAAGATACACCATACATGGCTTCCCCCAAAGAATCCTGGGGGCTGTAGTTTACCAATAACAGAGTTATTTTTAAAAAAAAATACAGTTCCCAGGATTCTTTAAATATATGGTGTGTACACAGCATTTCAGACTCATATTTAGGGAAGCAGATCTTTTCTATCAAACTTACCTTTGATGGCCAGAGATAAGGGTGGGTTGAGGTAGCAAATAATGAGCATTCTGAGACCCATTGTGATGGAGTGGGCTGCAAGTCAAAGAAAGAAAGAAGGTGCATATTTATTAATTAAGTGCACAGGACCCCTTTCTTCATAGAAGAGTAGCTGCTTACAGTCCATGAAACATTATCTTATTCTTCCTTTAACCCTTCTGCAATATTGGGTGGACATTACACCTCATGTGTTGCAGAGTCTAAAATTGTGCATTTATGACAAGGATGAGGAGAGGAACATAAAAGCCCTGCCACAGGCTGTTCCCCCCACCATGGACAGTGCTTTTAGAGGCCTTGAGCAGAGGGGTGTGTGGGTGTGTGTCCCCCTAATTATATAGACAGTACCCAAAAATTGCAGATTGTGTATTGGAAAAGAACTCTGTTTTTCCCCTCATCACTTTCTCTCATATCTATATCTATATCATCTATATCTATATCTACACACACACACACACACACACACACTCCTTATGAATGCAAAGATTTGATTGAAATTACATGTGAATTTCCAGTAGAATCTCAGGAGCCAGAGGGTTGGCTAAATAAGATTGACAGTGGTCATGAGCTAGGCTTCAGCTCCCATTATTATCTCCCCGCCATGACTAGCAAAGCCAAAATGAATTAAATAAAGTCTACAAAGAATTGAGAAAAAAATGCATAATTTATCCAAGTTGCAGAATTCAGCTGGGGTGGGGTGGGGGGCAGAGTTGGCACAGGATTTTTATGTTGTCTTTTAGCCGGGAATGCATACATCAACCTGGCCTTGGGTAAAGGTAAAGATAAAGGGACCCCTGACTGTTAAGTCCAGTCGCAAACGAGTCTGGGGTTGTGGCCCTCATCTCGCTTTACTGGCCGAGGGAGCCGTCGTTTGTCCACTGACAGCTTCTGGGTCATGTGGCCAGCATGACTAAACCGCTTCTGGCAAAACCAGAGCAGTGCATGGAAACGCCATTTACCTTCTTGCCGGAGCAGTACCTATTTATCTACTTGCACTTTGACGTGCTTTTGAACTGCTAAGTTGGCAGGAACAGGGACCGAGGAACGGGAGCTCACCCCGTCGCGGGGATTCGAACTGCCAACCTTCTGATCGGCAATCCCAAGAGGCTCAGTGAGATTGCTGGTTGATCCTGAGTAGTGTTTCATAGCAAAATAGCTCTGATATGTGAAGATGGTGCAAGGGGGGGGGGACAGAGTGAGAGATTGGTTGGGGGTTAATGTGCTTTGGCTTTGATTTGAGTAGCAACTTGCTGAGTTAAGAAACTGCCTTTTAGTGAGGAATCTGGACCTCGATTCTTAGAAGACTGAACTTTGCAATATCCAACACTTAATCCTATGATGCTCCAGAAATGACAAGGCAAAAACTCTTGCTTCTGCCCCGTTACCTTTCTTGCAGGGCCTTCCCTGCCCAGCAACCCAACTCTGAGGAGGAGGGAGAGCTGGGCACTGTGCCACTCACCTCCTCACCATGCCAGGTGTTTGCAGCCTCTGCTTTTTGGAAGCCCTCCTTTCCCCCTTCTTTCCTTCTGATCGTTTTCTTGATGAGTCTGGGCATAAACGAACCATCCATCAGCCCATTAAATCCCAGCAGGAGAGTCATTTCCTTGTGCAAACAACCATTTGAAGTTCTGGTCTGCCTGCTGCTAGCTGGAATGAGCGTCTCTCTCACTCCCTCTCGCTCCTGCTTGGCATCGGCTTTGACATTTCCAGTAATGATGAATGAAGGTGAGCAGGGGAAGATTGGCAGGAGCAGAGCGTGGCAGCAAGGAGACGGGAAAGGCATTAATTGCTCTGCACCTCTGCACTTAGCAAGCTTTGGTTTTTTCCTCCCCATCCTGTCATCTCAGAAAGGGGAGCTGCACACCCTCAAGCACACACCCCCAAAAAATCATTGGAACCCTATTGTAGTAGAGACAACGTTCAGTAGTGGTTCCAGTGGTAATTGCTAATGCAAAGGCACCTTCAAGCTGGGATGGCTGCAGGATAATAATATTTTTTTTTTTTTTTATAAAATTTTTATTGGTTTTAGAAACTTTTTAAGAAAAACAAACAAACACCAAGAATGACAAACATACACGTATAGTTTCAAACATATTTTCATAAACCTCTTTCCTTTGACTTCCCCATACCCCCCCTCTCTGCATCCCAATGTCCATAATTCAACTAGCAACTCCCAATTGTTACTTTCCAATCTCTGTCATCATAGTCCTCTTTTATATTTCTAACCTTATATCCCTGTATCCCTTTGTTTCTGGAAACCACAACATTTTAGCATTCATTAAGTTTATAGTAGTCCTTAAGATAACTTTTAAATTTTCTCCATTCTTCTTCCACCGTCTCTTTTCGTTGGTCACGGATTCTGCCTGTCATCTCGGCCAATGTCATATAGTCCATCACTTTCATCTGCCATTCTTCCAGAGTGGGTAGATCTTGTGTCTTCCAATACTTTGCGATGAGTATTCTTGCTGCTGTTGTAGCGTACATGAAGAAAGTTCTATCCCTCTTTGTCACCAATTGGCCGACAATGCCCAAGAGAAAGGCCTCTGGTTTTTTAGGAAAGGTACATTTGAGTACCTTTTTGATTTCATTATAGATCATTTCCCAGAAGGCCTTAATCTTCGGGCATGTCCACCAAAGGTGGTAGAAGGTACCTTCAGTCTCTTTACACTTCCAACATTTGTTATCGGGCAGATGATAGATTTTTGCCAGCTTGACTGGGGTCATGTACCACCTGTAAATCATTTTCATTATGTTTTCTCTTAAGGCATTACATGCCGTAAACTTAACACCGGTGGTCCATAACTGTTCCCAGTCAGCAAACATAATGTCATGACCAATATCTTGTGCCCATTTAATCATGGCTGATTTCACCGTTTCATCCTGTGTATTCCATTTCAACAACAAGTTATACATTCTTGATAAATTCTTAGTGTTGGGTTCTAACAGTTCAATCTCTAGTTTTGATTTTTCCACCTGAAAGCCAATTTTCCTGTCCTGTTTGAAAAGCTCCATTATTTGGTAATATTGAAGCCAGTTTTGTACTTTATGTTTCAATTTGTCATAGCTTTGTAATTTCCACTTATCTCCATCCTGTTCCAAAATTTCCCAATACTTCGGCCATCCGACCTCCATATTGAGTTTCTTTACTGCTTTAGCCTCGACTGGTGACACCCATCTAGGGGTTTTGTTTTCCAAGAGATCTTTATATCTCATCCATACATTAAACAATGCTTTTCTAACAATGTGATTTTTAAAGGCACTATGCTGCTTACTTTTGTCATACCATAGATATGCGTGCCAGCCAAAAACATTGTTAAAACCTTCCAGATCCAAAATGTCTGTGTTCTCGAGGAGCATCCAGTCCTTCAGCCAGCAAAAAGCTGCTGCCTCATAATACAATTTTAAGTCCGGCAGGGCAAACCCCCCTCTTTCTTTGGCATCTGTCAATATTTTAAATTTAATTCTGGGCTTTTTGCCCTGCCAGACAAATTTCGAAATATCTTTCTGCCACCTCTTGAAACATTCCATCTTGTCAAGGATCTGCAAGGTCTGAAACAGAAATAACATTCTAGGCAATACATTCATTTTGATCACTGCAATTCGGCCTAACATTGACATGGCTGCAGGATAATAATAGGTCATATCCTAGGAAACGAAAGCCCAAGCTCTTAAGTACAGCCCTGCTCCCTGTAAATTCAGTCTTCTCCTTATACCACACTAGACTATTTTGTCCATCCAGCCCAGGGTTGCCTACAGTGACTGACAGTAGCTCTCCAGCAGAGGTTCTCCCTATCACCTTCCTTCCAGTCCTTTTTTCAAACTGGAGGTGCCAGGCGTTGATGCGGCAACTTCCTTGCTGCAAAGGAGTTGCTCTTCCAGGAAGAAACCCATCACTGCATGTGCTGTTGCTGAGCTGGAATGCATTGCTGTGGTGATGGTGGTGGAGGACGTACAGTCCTGTGGCCAGCAAGCATTTTCTTGGGAGCCTGCCATTGTGCTGCTTCCTCCGTAACCCTCCAGGGGTGTTGCAGTACGCAGTTACGAATTCACAGCGCATTTGACACCAGCGTTCATTCCATCTCAGAGCTCGAACAAGACAGCTCTGACTTAACAGCCAGTGACTCTGCATGTATGAAATTCTTGCTAGTTGAGTTTGGCAGGGCTATTACTGGGCAGCACTGTTACCCCAGGCCAAAGTAATGGCAGAAATATCAGTCATAAATCAAACTTGTCATCTGGTGTGAACACAGCTCGATCCCAGAGCACATCCGCTATCAGCACAACCTGTGCCTGCTTCCATGCATCGTTCACTCTGAAAGAGAAGGATTCAGGCAGCGTGTGAGGTTTGCTTATTTATTTAGTCACATCTTAGAATTCCCCGGCAGTATGGTCCCTGTTTGAACTGGAATTTGAAACTGTGGGATGAACCCATGCAGTAAAAACAAAGGTTTGGTCCCATCCATCATCATCATCATCATCATCATCATAGGCAAATCTATTTATTTAAAGAATTTATATCCCAGTTTTAATTACAACAGCCCTTAAGATATCCTGGTCTAAGTTGTTCAGGACTTAGTACACTGGTACAAGAACCTTGAATGGAGCCCAGTAGCAGGTCTTTTAACACTGGTGCCATGTCTTGGTGGTGGTTTATTCCTGGGTTTGATATAGTTCAACCTCCATTCTTTTAATGTGTGTGAGAAGAAAGAGTCAAACCAGATGAGACCTTTACAAAACCTGAACTGTAATTTGGAAGTTTCTCTAGGTTGAACCCGAGTCTGTTGGCTTCAGGGCTATTTTGCCTAGAAGAAGTTCACAGATTTGAGGTTTCCCCACTTAAATTCTACATCTGTGTAAGATTCTTAGTTTATGTGTTGCCTGCACTCTTTGGGTGTTTGTGATTTTAGTGTTTAATCAATTGTTTAATGTATTCCCCCCCCCCTTATATTATTTCTTCCTCTCCCCGTACTAAATGCTTCTTGACATTTCAGTTGTTGGTTTTCTAGCTCCCTGCCCGCCCCCACTGGATTTATTGAGCCTCCAACCATGACTTGTGCGCTAACAGCTACCTCTGCATAAGCAATAGGCCCCAGCATAGCCAGTAGTCAGAATGATGGGAATTGTATTCCTGCAGCATCTGCAGGGCCACAAGTCCCCATCTCTGTTTTCAGAGCTAATCCAAAAACAGCACTCGTTGGTTCTTTTATCAGAGCCAAACACTTAAGCAAGTTTTGAGTTCAGCAGCACTCTTTTTCAGGCTAGATATTAAACTATCACAATGTGATGGTGGAATATTTATGAATTCTAAAGTCTGTTCACTTTTTTGTGACATACTTATTCAGCCTAAAAAATGTATTGTGCTACTGTTGCATTGGGGATTTCATTCTCTAGAATTCAGGGCTGGGAAACCTTTTCTGTTCTGAGGGCTCTTTCCCCCCATGACCATTGTCTGGAGCCATCAGTAAAAGCAGGCAGGGCAATAGAAGCGCTTCTTGCCTCTATACAGCAGACTACATTCCAGCCATGCAAACGTCACGGGTTTCTATGCACACCCATACATACCTCTCAGACTCTCAGACTTCCATCCAGGTAAGAATGAGGCATGATCAATGTTCAAGGACACATTCCAGCCAGGCAAAAACACTCCTGGAGCGTCCAGAGTGAGGCTGTGTAAGGAGTGTGACCAGCAGAGAGCCCCAGGGGCTGGGTAGAGAGGCCTGGAGCACCACATTTGACCCTTGGGTCAGAGGTTCCCCACCTGCTGTAATAGGTAGACAGCATTTCTTGTTACAGGGTGGTCCCCTTGAGGACTGGTGAGGAAGGATCGGATATAGCACGCTTTCTTGCCCTTTACTCTTCTGAAGTTGGAAATGTTGGTGGTTCGTTCTTGCTTTTGCAAATCTTGGGTACCTGAATGTAAATTCCTGAACAAGAGAGTGCAAAAAAAAGTAGGAGAGAAAGCTGGATCAGTGCAGCAGAAGTGCATCCTTGGAATGGATTGCTGGTGATGAGGTTGGCGTCAGGGTAGGGGTTAATTATACCCTTTCTTGATGGAAGTGACAGGCATCCAGAGAGACAATGGGGTGGGGAGGATGGGAGGGAGAGATACTGCAGCATTTCTGCCCATCACCGGTGGGGGCTCTGCCATCTTCCCTTCACTTGTCAGAGAAGGGCTTCAAACTGACAGGCTGCCCCAGGGCAGCTACTCCAGCTCTGATTTAGAAGCTGACAAGGAAGAGCGCTGAGAGCTGCTGTCATTTGGGCTTGGTTGGGCTCTGCACGGCACACAGAAGTACCCAAATAATTCAGGGGAGGGAATCAGAACAACCCATCTGTGTGGGTCAAGCAGTGCATCCCTTTTCAGCATTCAGACTGTCCAGCTGCTACTGCAGTCTGAAAAATAGACAGGATGGATTTATTGAGAGAAGGGGACAAGAGAAATAATTGAATGGGGAGGGGGCATGCGTGTGTAAGAAAGGGAGGGTGTAGGGCAGTTCTCGTCCTGCCCACCACTGATATGAGGACACTGGAAAAGTTTGCATAAGGAAATGCAAACCATGGGCTGAAATAGCTTCTCCACCTGTTTTATATCCTGATTTTCCTTCAAGGAGCTGAAAGTGGCATGTGTGATAGTAGTGACTGGCCCAAGGCCACCCAGGAATCTTCATGACCAAGGGGTGATTTTGAAGCTGTGTCTCCACTGTTCCAAGCCCAGCCCTCTAACCAATGTGCCACACTGGCTCTGCTGCATGAATGGGACAAGAGTTCTTTTGCGGCAGGAAGAGAATTCTCATGTTTGTCTCCCAGGGACATGACTGGACAGCTCATGTCTAACCTTTGTCCACTTTCTAGTGTCAGTACTTTTTGAAAAAATCATGCGGTGTATGTGCACCTGTAGCTATTTTCCAGCAGGTGTGTGTCCAGAACTTTTCTCTTTTTAAAGCATATTTCCTTGAAATGGACTTCATGTGCAGCTGCCTCTGGGCACATGTACATAATTAATTGAGCATAATGAATAATTAACACAGAAGACACAGCCTAAAAGGGAGAGACAAAATGATAGAGATCCAGCTATGTTGCTTGAGCTTAAGGCAGCCAAGGAAGGATGAAACTTGAAGGTCAGTCAGTCTGAACAGGCTGGCAGAAGGCCAGACTAGGATGTGGTACCATTCACACAATTAGCAATCACTGGAACTGCTTTATTTTTAATGTAAATAGCAAGCGTGGGGTGGGGGTTCTTAGGTGCATGAATAGTTCCATGTCTTCTTTGGCCTTAAGGTTGGCATGATATGGGCAAAGGAAACCAGTTTTATACAGCAACCATTTCAATGTGTTTCTTCTTGTTGATTTCCATTGGTGGAGTAGCTGTGTCCTATACAATTTTGGTCCTATTGACTTGCATTGCCATTGAAGATGCTGGAGAGATGAACATTGAGTGAGCAGCAGGGGGCTGAGGTGGCCTATTCTGATTCCAAGCATATAGATGCAGATATCCTCAGAGCCTCTAAGAGCTGTTCTTTCCAGTAGGGCCTCCAAGGCCTAAATTCCTCACAGAGAAAGACCTTGCCTGGGGATACCACAATTCTTCCCCTCTTCCCATGGTAGTTCTTTTCATCTGCTTGTTCATTCTGCAACCTCCCTTGCGAGGTCACTTCATTTCTCTCTCCCCACCCCATGGTTTTTACTTTTGATGTGCTTGCCAGTATTTCAGTGATATAAGCCACTGCCTTTGAATGTCACCTGCCTGCTTCCCTGTGCACTAATGAGGCTTCAGTTGTTGCTTCAGCAAATCCTGTTGTTTTTTCCCCATCTGCCCATTTCTCCAAGGTGATGAAGCTGAGGAAGCTGGCCCAGCAGGTAGCCAATTGCCGGCAGTGCCTGGAGCGGTCGACTGTCCTCATCAACCAGGCTGACCACATCCTGAAGGAGAATGACCACGCACGGTTCCTGCAGACAGCAAAGAACGTGGCAGAGAGGTATGGCCTCTTACTCCTTAAAATGACTGGGACAGCATGCGGACCTATCTTGCCCACAAAATAATGCCCACATGCTCTACCAGTGAGCTTTGTCCCTCTTGTTGAACATAGAAATAGTCTTTACCTCAAGTCAGACCACTAATTTATCTAGCTCAGTACACAGTGCCTAGGGCAGGGATAACCAATGTATTGGTCTGCAAATGTTATTGGAATGCAGTTCCCATCAGTCCCAGCTGGCGAGGCTAGAATTGAACACCGCCTTGGGATTTTTGGACAGTATATAAATCTAATAAATAAAATAAAAATCAAATATACCCACAACTCCCATCAGTCTCAGCTGGCTTGGCCTATGACACTGGCCTTCCCCTGGTGGGTTGGGACCCACTCGTGCAGCCTTTCTCAATCTGTGGGTCCCCAGATGTTGTTGAACTACAATTCCCATCACCCCTAGCTAGCAAGGCCAGAGCTCAGGGATGATGGGAGTTGTAGTCCAACAACATCTGGGGACCCACAGGTTGAGAACCACTGCACTAGTGGGTTGCAGCCAGATCCAAGGTGGGTCGCAACAGGAGCACTAGCACCCTACAGATATATGGCAAAGGATTAAGAAATGGGTCCCCAAGTGGACATTTGGGTTAAAAGTGGGTCTGAAAAGGTTGAAGATACTTATCCTGTGATCAGGCACCATGTTGGCTGCTCTTAGTCTAGCGTTTCAAGAAGGGGTCTTTCTCAGCACTACCTGAGTTGATTAAGGGACCTTCTACATGAAAAATATGTACTCAAACACTGAGCCTACAGCCCCTTTTCTGTGGATGGAACCACCATAGATGGAGGGAGTGGAAGTGGCAGAATCTGGCAGGCATTTGCAAATCGATTCAGGATTTAATGGTTGATTTAATGAGAATCCCATACTCCTGCTGTCTCCTCACCTTGACCCATTGCCTCAGACAGAATGTCACAGGAATTAAAGCGATGCTCGAGATCCGTTAAAACTGAAAGCAGCTGTTTGGGTGACGGCGGCCTCAATGTTTGTGTTTCATCTGCCTGCCCCAGGGCCTAAAGCTTTTCTTAGGGTTCAAAGCACAATGGTCTTGGGATGACAGCTGCGGCTGCAGGTGTTCTTTAGAGGGATTCAGAACCAGCATCAGCACATGCCATCCTTGGGTAGCTGCCAGGACTCACTGCTGGTTGCCTGCCCTGCCCCCCAATGGCCCAGAACTCAGCAGCATCAGGCAGCTACATCTAACCACCCTTTAAGTGTCCCACAGGACCCACCCAGACCCAATGACAGCAGAGGAGACCCACCAGAGACTACCTCCCCCAGGGGCCCTAGCGGATTTCATCTGTTTGCTAGAGAAATAAAGGACTGAATCTGAAGAAGGATGGGGAGGAAGCTGCATAGAGGGCAGGCACTAGTGTTAGTGATCCTTACTATAGCAACAAGAGTTTTCTCTAGTGGCAGTAGCAGCCTCCTCTGGGCAGGTATCCACCTTTGCACGGATGTCTGTACATGACCTTGAATCTTTTCAAGCACTTCGGTTTATTTTCAGTTCTTCTCCTTTCCCCCCAGACTGTCACACAAGGGAAGGAGGAGTTTTGGGTTTTGTTGCTTTCAATTATTTACAGATTTAATCTGAACTTTCTTTAAGTACACGAGAGCGCCTCCAGCTCGGCCAAATTAACAGCTTGGAGTGGGAGCTGCTTTTGCAGCAGCGTCAAAACGCCAAAGAGATCAGAGAGAATGCAGAAGTGGGCCATCCCCCCATCAGGCCAGGGAAAGAGACCGCAAGCGCTAGTGCGAATATGCTAGGCTGATTGCTGCCAAACAGGATCAGACTCTTCACTGTCATCCCATGAGCAAGCCACAGTAGTCGCTGGGTAGTATCTAAAAACAAAAAGGGTGTAGGGGCTCAACGCCTTCTGGGAGGCTGTTAGGGAACAGGGAAACCCTGCCTTACACCCCTGGAACATAGGAGTGATTTTTAGTTATCCTGTGTTGTGAGAAGGTAAAGGCTCTGAGAGTTCCTTTTCCTTCTAACTTCATACGTTCACAGATTTTGGGATGGCTACTCTTGCTGTCCACTGGATTGCAGTTCTTCTTTGAAGCATGGGTTAGTTTGAGACATGGTTCACTCTTGAATCAATCCCAGGCCCTGGATGTAAAATATGGCCTCATCTGCACTGTACATTTAAAGCAGTATCAAACACTTTAAACAGTCATGGCTTCTTCCCCCACAAAAGAATAAAAATAAATCTGGGAACTGTAGTCTGCTATGGATGCTGAGAGTTGACAGGAGTCCCCTGTTCCTCTCCCAGAGCTACAGTTCTCAAATAGTTAAACAATCAATCTCTCTTCCCAGGGAACTCTGGGAATTGTAGCTCTGGGGTGGGGAATAGGGGCCTCCTAACAGTTTTCAGCACCCTTAACCAACAACAGTTCCCAGGATATTTTGAAGGGAAGCCATGACTGTTTAAAGCAGCACATGCAGCTTTAAATGTTCAGCACAGATGGAGCCTATGTGTGACGCCCAGAGCACTGGTCCATCAAATCCAGCAATATCTATTCCAGCCTTCCCTAGCCTGGTACCCTCCAGAGGCTGTTGGACTCCAACTCCCGTCAGCTCCAACCAGCATGACCAGTGCTCGGGAATGATGGGCATTGTAGTCCAAAAAAAATCAGAGGATACCAAGTTGGAAAAAGTTATTCTACTCTAACTGGTGGTAGGTTCCTCTGCCTCCAGGCAGATGCTTTGCCAGCACTCGGGATCCTTTTTAACTGGCAATGCCAGGGGTTGAGCCTAGGACTTTCTGAACGCAAGGCAGGTGCCCCTGCCCCTGTATTCAATGCTAGGACTCAAATATAGGGATTCAAAAAATCCCATAGTGAGGGTTAAGGTACTGTGGTACCTCGGTTTAAGTACTTCATTTGTTCCAGAGGTCTGTTCTTAACCTGAAACTGTTCTTAACCTGAAGCACCACTTTAGCTAATGGGGCCTCCGGCTGCCACCGCGCCACCACTGCGTGATTTCTGTTCTCATCCTGAAGCAAAGTTCTTAACCCGAGGTACTATTTCTGGGTTAATGGAGTCTGTAACCTGAAGCATATGTAACCTGAAGCATATGTAACCCGAAGTACCACTGTATTGGGAGCTTGTGGGGAAGGGGAACATGACAAGTATTTGACATTGCTATAAATTTTGAGAATCATCTAGTCCAAATGCCTAAATAAACTGGGTCATAACCTGCTCTAAGATGAGTTCCACCAGGGTCACTCTCTTCTTTTATATTCTTTTATAAAGTTTTTAAGTGAAGGAGAGGAAGGGAGACATAAAGATGGGGGAACAGTGGGGAAGATTGTGGTAGAGAGAGAGAGAAGGAGAAGCACAAAGGAGGTAGGGTAAAAATATTAAAAGTGAAGTATTGAAGTTAAATGTGGTACCAGGATCTGAAAAGGTGATGGATACTGATCTGGAGGATTTGAGCCTCCAAGGGCTTCTGATTTCTACCACCTCTCCAAGCGAATGGGATGCATATGGCTCTTGTGGAGATCAAGGAAGGATTTGGGAATTGGGGAGGGGAGCTCATTACACAATCTTCCAGCTACCAGCCTCTTGCACGGGCAATTGAGGTCCTGCATTTGAAGCCTGGGCGTCTCTCCTCCCCTCCTCTTCCTGCTGGTGGTTATATCACTGCCAGGCTGTTTTCAGCTCTTTAATCAAAAATCAAAGTGCCGCCTGGGAGTTACAAACACCACCTAATGTATATTGATGCTCTCTTCTGTCTTTCAGGGTCGCCATGGCAACAGCATCCTCTCAAGTTTTGATACCCGATATCAATTTAAATGATGCCTTTGAAAACTTTGCTTTAGATTTTTCCAGAGAGAAGAAACTGCTGGAGGGGCTGGATTATCTAACAGGTTTGTGCCGATTCTGCAATCCCAGCTCACCCTCCGCACATCCCTAAACTTTTCCCCACTCCCAATTTGACCTGCTTTCTTTGTAAACCTGTCAGTGGAAATTTGGGGGCTGGGGGGTGGGATATGGCTTCCTTATCATTTCTTTCTTATGCTTTTTGGATAATACCAATGTTACAGCTCAGTTGGCATTTCACAGGGGCTCTGATTCCACCAGTGCAGAACACAGTGTTATCTGGCTCGTCTTCTGCTTGTTTTGAAATCCTGTGGAAGGGGGCAAGATTCCCTTCCACCAGACTCAAGCACAAATGGAGAGAGAAAGAGAGTCCCAGGGGCTGGCTAACAATGTCTTTTGACTCATCCTTAAGATGAGACTCTGTTCTGCTTCATGGCAGCTGTGGTAGCAATAGGTTTCTGGTAAGCAGAGGAGGCTTGCTTACCTGCGGAGCAACTGCTCTTCCCTGGTAGGCAAAAGCAGCTGCTGCCAGAGTATGAAACATCAGCAGCTTCATAGCCACACCCCTTTGCTATATTTGTTAGCCAAGAAATGGAGTAGGTGGGTGATGTTTACTCCAAACAGCAGGTGCCATTTAAGTTCATTAGCCAGGCCTGCAGGACCTGGTCCATGTGTGCAAGTGTCCTGCATCCACTTGAGGTGATGGGTGGGCATATGGTGTTTTCGAATGCTTCCCTAAATATAATACTTCCTGCAAGTAGAAAATAATCAAAGTCCTCTTCTTGCTGTGCTGGGTTTCTGCATAGGAGCATTTCTAAATGGGGCTTTCCTCACTTTCATCTTGAGATGGTAGAGTTAGGGCCAACAAGGGGGACAAGAGGGTCATATATCCTAGGCTTCAAGCTCAAAGGGGTCCTCAAATTTAGACACTTCTTAATGTGGGGAGATTTAATAAGTTTTACAACTTGTTTTTATGCATATCAAGCTAAAGCATGATGTGTTCTGTCAGCTTAGAACTGTAAATATGGGCAAATGCTTTAAACAAACATTTTAATTTGGTAAAAAACATACATGTTTTTTGTAAACTGATGTAGAATTTGTCGTATTAAAGAGCTAAAAATGTCTCTAAATTTTGATCTAAAAAGTCACTTCCAATGGCACAAGATTGTGATGAGCATGTCTTCTCAATCAGCTGATTATGTAAACAAGCTATTTACTCTTTATTTGGTGCCTTATTTTGTTTTCAAATGCTGCCGTTTTTAAAAAAGCTTTTATTATGATCAGGGGCCTCCAAAACTGTACGTGGCCCCAGGTCTCTCTGGGCCTCTGAGGGGGCCTGTGCTCAGTCTACCATATCACCTCATTCTGTTGGACATTGACCAAGGCCATAGCCCACTGACAGAGCACCTGTTTGCATGCAGAATGTCGCTTATTCAGTCAAAGACATCTCCTAGGGCTCATTGCCTGAGACACTGAAGAGCCACTGCCAGTCAGCGCAGCCTCTCTATGGCTCCCTTAGAAGCATGCATCTTTTAGGAGAAATTCTACAGAAGTCCTTAGGCCTCTCAATCTGTAAATCCAATTGCTTATTGTAGCAGGGCAAGTGAAAATTGGCATAGTGCAGAGGAATGTGACTTGTTCCCAGGGTTTCAATTTTAAAATTCTGGGTTTTTAAAAATTCCTTTTATTAAAACACACACATTCACACAGAGAGAGACATTCACACACAAGTTTTGACAGGACAGCTTGGCTTTAATTAGTTTATTAACCTGATTATGTCCAAATGTCTTGAGTCGGATTTCATTGTTTCAGCCTTAATATGTGATCTCTCTGTCTTTCATGGACAGGAGGCCCTCCCAGCCATCTGTCGCATTATGCAAGGGGCCACGGATTGATTCTGGTGAAATTTCCCAGTGGACTGAAGCTGCAGAGAGAGAAAATTAAGCAGTGTGTTAATATCTGGAGTTAAATGGATAGTAGTAGATCCACCAAAGAGGGGTTGGGAAATGAAGCAAGTGGCTAAGAGAGCTTGCATTGTCCAGGGAAAGCCAGAAAATAAAGCCTGCCTGATGACAATAGGCAAGGAGTTACAATGTGTAGGTGCTGCCACGCTAAAATACTGATTTTGGCTGTGGGACAAGTATTATGTGGCACCTGTCACAATGCCAACTCCACAGATCAAAGGAATCAAGGTGGCATATATGGGGTAAGGCGATCCAGCAAGTGATCTGGTCCCAAGTTATTAAGGACTGTATATACCGTATTTTTCGCTCTATAAGATGCACCCGACCATAAGATGCACCTATTTTTTTAGAAGAGGAAAACAAGAAAAGCCAGCAAGAGCTGCAGACACGCTCACTCGGCGCAGCTCTTTAAAGATAGAGCGGCTCTTGCTGGCTTTTCTGGGAGATGGGAGAAGGGATTGACGGGCTGCCCTCCATCCCTTCTCCCACCTCCCTGAAAAGCCAGAGCAAGCTGTGCAGCTATCGCTGAAGCCAGCAGAGCAAGAGCAAGAGCTGTGCAGTGCCTCTTGTTCTGCTGGCTTCCCAGCAAAGCGGGATGAGGGATGGAAGGGGCTCCGTTAGGGCTCCCTTCCATTCCTCATCCCTCTTGCTCTGCTGGCTTCAGCGATAGCAGTGCAGCGCCTCTTCAGCGAAACAGGAGGAGGAATGGAAGGGAGCCCTTATGGAGCCCCTTCCGTCCCTCATCCCGCTTCGCTGGGAAGCCAGCAGAACAAGAGGCGCTGCGCAGCTCTTGCTCTTCCTCTGCTGGCTTCAGCGATAGCTGCATATTCGCTCCATAAGATGCACACACATTTCCCCTTACTTTTTAGGAGGAAAAAAGTGCATCTTATAGCACAAAAATATGGTGTATATATAAAGGTAAAGGACCCCTGGATGGTTAAGTCCAGTCAAAGGCGGCTGGGGTAGCGGTGCTCATCTTGCTTTCAGGCCGAGAGAGCTGGCGTTTGTCCACAGACAGCTTTCCGGGTCATGTGGCCAGCATGACTAAACTGCTTCTGGTGCAACAGAACACCATGATGGAAACCAGAGTGCACGGAAATGCCGTTTACCTTCCAGCCACAGTGGTACCTATTTATCTACTTGCACTGGCATGCTTTCAAACTGCTAGGTTGGCAGGAGCTGGGACAGAGCAATGGGAGCTTACTCCATTGCGGGGATTCGAACTGCCGACCTTCTGATCGGCAAGTCCAAGAGGCTCAGTGGTTTAGACCACAGCGCCCGCCACCCTAAGGACTTTATATACCAAGAGTAACACACTGAACTTGGCTCAGTAGCAAATAGGCAACTAGTGCAGGTCTCTGAGCACAGATGTTAAAGGGTCTTGCTCTTCAGCAACTGTGCTGCAGCATTCTTTACTAACTGCAGCTCCCGGGTCAAGTGCAAGGGAAGCCCCACATGAAATGCATTGCAGTAATCCATATGGGAAGCCACAAATTCTTCACCCCCTGCTTTGCAGGGGGTTGGACTCGATGGCCCTTGTGGTCTCTTCCAACTCTATGATTCTATGAAATTCAGACAATGCCGAGGCAAGGACACAATCTTTTGGGAACAGAGGAATTACATTATACCTGGCCTACCTTATGCAGTATTTGCTCCTCTGGCTGACAGTAACTTTCCAAGTTTTCAGGTGAGGGTCTTTCATATCACCTGCTATCTGGTTTTTGGGTTTTTTAAAAAAAACTGGAGATGCCAGAGCTTGAATATGGGACCTTCCACATGTTAAACATGCGGCCATGATCACTGAGCTACAAGCCGGTCTGCTCAATGGTACTCTGGCACAGCTCTTGTTCGTTTCACTAAGACTTTCACAGGAGACCTTCCCAGGGCATTGTGCTCTGTTTTTAACTAGTAGGACATACAGGATGCCATTAGGATTTTTTTCCTCTGGTGTCTGAATGCCCTGTGTTATCCCCACATATCACAGGTAACAATGGCATAAGATAAGGTCTTTGGGGAAATGATATGTTTGGAAATCTGCCAGTTAAACAACTTTAAGCAAATTAGATGTCTAGCTTTAGAAGCTGAAGAGCCTGTCAATTAACTGATTAAAGGAGCATGTAATTACATAGAGCAGCATTGCTTAAATGAGTCTTTTTTATCATTGTGAATGAAAGTGACATCCTGTGAGAACTTAAAATTCCCAGCTACCTGCAGCCTTCTGAAGAATTGTTGAGAGGGCAGCCCCATTCTTCCCCCATCATCATGATGGTTTATTCCTCTGTTTTCCTCCCCACCTCTATATTCTTCCTCTGGACACCCCTTATATTTTATTTTAGTCCTTCTTGTATTTTGTTAAATGTTTGTCCATCATTTTATTTTTTTTTAAAAGGAAAAGTTATGTTAAAAGAGTTTCAGAGCGGGGGGGGGGTGTTGCTATGGAATGGTTGCAAGCCAATCAGTGCTATACCAAACTAGCTTCTGTTGCAGTCTGACAAAACAAGTCTTCCCTGAACTCAATCTGCAAGAGTAAACTGCTCACCTGAATTTTGACTCATTGATTACAATTTCCACAGTGCTGGGCTGTTCAAATAACATACAGTGGTACCTCGCAAGACAAAAAACTCGCTAGACGAAATGGTTTTTGGTTTTTTGAGCTGCTTCGCAAGACGATTTTCCCTATGGGTTTGCTTCGCAAGACGGAAACTTTCCTTTTTCTTAACACCGTTAATACAGTTGCGACGACTTCGAGGAGCAACTCATAGCACGCGGTGTGGTAGCCTTTTTTGAGGTTTTTAAAGACTTTGGTGATTTTTGAAGTTTTTCCAAAACTTTCCCAACATCGTGCTTCGCAAGACGGAAAAAATCGCAAGACGACAAAACTCGCAGAACGAATTAATTTCGTCTTGTGAGGCACCACTGTACTTGATCAAAGTGGATAACTTCTAACCTTTCCCCCCCCCCCATTTCTAGTGCTTTTTATATTTTCTGGTGGCTAACATGACTTCTTTAAGGCATCTCTGAAGCTGCTAACTTTCTGCCTCATGTCAACTGTTGCCCCCACAGCGCCCAACCCACCATCGGTTCGTGAAGAGCTTTGCACTGCCTCTCATGACACCATCACTGTCCACTGGATCTCAGATGATGAGTTCAGCGTCAGCTCATATGAGCTCCAGTACACCATCTTCACTGGCCAGGCAAACTTCATCAGTAAGTAGCTGTTGGCTAGCATCTATTTCCTGGACATGAAGTTCAACTCATTGTAGATGGGCCTGCAGTATTTTCCTGTATTTTATACTTTCACCTTTTCACACCTTTTGCAAATCCTCTGGATCCAGAGCAACCAAGGCTATAGTTCAGAAAACTGAGATAGGTCAGGACTGCTGTTGCTGAAGCAAACAGCTGTTGAAATGACAGAGGTCCAGTAAGAGATTCAGTAAGTGACTGGGGATTCCTAAGGAGAGAAAGGGTATATGGAGTATGTGTGACTCTCTTCTTTAAGGGCCGCTCCAGACTGATTTTTCAGTAGGTATATTCTGCAACGTACCATTGGCTAATAATAAATTAGTGGTGGATTTATACAGAAATGTCCACATTTTTTTCTTAAGTGACTACTCAGTGTTACCACATTATTGTAATCTAGAAGGATGCTCTTGCACTGTAATACAACAGAAATAACCCCACCCCCCTCAAAACCCCAGAACATTTGTGGAATGAAGTGTGTCAGGATTTCAGCAGGAAACTATGTGACATGCACCAGTTGGAAATAATACTGTATGTGCACCCCAAAAAAGTTTGCAGGCACAAACAGTATCGAACGTGGCTTCATGTATAACTGAACCAATGCAACCATGAAAACCAATAATCATGAATGCACAATAAAAAGGACGTCCCGAGGGATCTTAAGTAGAAAAGTCTTTCTCTCCCCCACCCCTAAGTAGTTCAAGTCCTGCTGCTCAGCCACACTTAGCTTTGCTCTGTACTTCCTGGGCAAAGGTCCGGACTTTCCAGCCCTGTGTTTGAGTAGTTAGAGCAAAAAAACTGTGTTTTGCCACTGAATTGGAGCAACAGCAACCCGCTCAAAACCTGATTTCCATTTGCTCTCATTCAGTGGTAAAACACAGGTTTCCCCAGAGATAGTTCTGGGATCAAAAAAACAACAACAAACCATACCTCACTTAGATATGGACCTGGGAAACCCAGACCTGCACCTAGAAATGCAACAAAAAGTGTGGGTGAACCTTTGGTGGTGGTGGCGATGATGATGATGGGGAAACACACTGAAAGGTTTGGAGTATATAAACTCAGAGGAAGCCCTGGGTCAGGCTATAAGGGTGAGTGTTAGCAAAACTACCAAGTAAACCTTTAGCTTCAATGTCCCGATGACAGGATCTTCTTGAAGGTTATCTGCTCAACATGGTTGCCTATGGGAAACTTTACTTACCATGGTTAAAATTGGCTTTGAGCCATGTCTCTCCTGCTTTATACAAGCAGATATCAATTCTGAGCAAAGCCCGCAGAGCAACTGCATGATTAGAATAAATATCTGAAGCAAACCTAAAGTAAAAACACATGAGGTATTCTTTATTAAGCTGTCTGTATATTTTTTTCTAACTACATTCTGTGCTGTGTAAACCAGAGGAAATTCACCCAACAAAATCAGCATGTTGAAAGTGGATTGAGGGAGGTGCATGCAAAGTTTGACACATGGAAAAGGGTTTGTCGGAGGCTTGCTGTTTGACCTGAGCCTGAGCCTTCTGTACCATCACTGAGCTTCTGAAAAGTGGTGCTGTGGTAAACACAGTTCAGTTGGCGCTTGGAGAAGCTGGCATCATTCAGTGGCTTCTGCACTCAACTCAAGACTCTCAGCACAGCAATTTGATTGTGAATCGGCCCCTTAGCAAAGCCAGAATATTGCATGACTGTGATTACAGAGTGGAAAGAAGATGGTGTTGTTCGTGAGAATTTAAAGTTAATATTGTAAAGGCAAATCTCTGAGTAGCTTGCTTTATTTCTGGTGTGTAATAGTTTGTCTCCAAGATAGCCCATCAAGAAAGTAATGGAGTTAAACTGCCGGGCAGAGAAGTGTAGCGGCCACAGGTTAACAGGATGTGATGGAGAGAGGGCAGGAACGCTGATTTCCCAAGACAGTTGTTGTTTATCGGTAATGAAACATGTCCACAGAACAGCCAGCTTCAAACTCTATCATTGCATATCCCTTTTATCCCTCCCCTTCCTTGCCTATCTCTCATCAGTTAAGAATCTTTTTAGTTAAGCAAACAAGCAAACTTTTCATTTGCTAGTTAAAAGTCACTTTAGATAACGTGAAAAGACGCCGTATGTATTTTTCTTTCTTTGTTATACAAGAAAATCTTTAATAAAAACTATTTTTTTTAAAAAAAAAGTCAGTTCAGATGTTCAGGAGGAAATTAATATAGTGTCGTCCTCAAAAGAACATATTGCTTTAGAATATAGGTAGAGTAAACCACATGGTTGAAGCCTCACCCCAATCTGCTATGTTCCTGTATTCAGGGAGAGGTTCAACATGGAGAAGTGTCTGAACATGTGAATTCCTATTTGCCTTCTGAAATGGCACATTCTTGAACTGTCTGTACCGTTTTTTCCTGAACGCTTGTGTGTAATCCATGGCTGGCTGGCTGGCTGAAACATTGACTAGGTATCCATTGTGCACACACCAAAGAATCCTGTGATTCCCAGCACCCTTTGCAAACTACAGTTTTGGGGATTCCCTTTGGGGTGGGATGTGCTTTAATTGTATGGTGTGCATGTGGCCATTGTGGTGCAGACATAACATTGTGGAGCAGTACACCAATTTAGTGCGAGGAAATAATGGTTACAATATTTGGGAACAGATCGTACATGGGACTTGTGGAAATGAACAGACCCTCTTCTATGCTTTCCTTGTCCTTTCTCTCTTTCCACCAGTGGGAAGATTGCATATCTTCTGTTCCATTGAGGATTGGCCACTCCCAAGGCAACCTTAGCAGAGAGGGTGTGTTAGTGAGGGGAAGTGTGAGTTTGGCAGAAGCTTCAATAAGAGTTCCAGGGAGCACAAATCCAGGCAGCCAGGGGGAAAAAAGATGAAGAAGAGGAGAGAGTCTGAAGTTCTGCTCTTCACTCTGCTTCTTGATGGGTTGACGACCCAATTTAATTGTTGCGTGTACACAGTGGTGGGTGGTCCAGTGAATCACTCCATGTAATGAAACCTAGTCTTTGGAGACCAGCCTTTCAGGGAGTTGTACTAGCAAGCATGCATTACAGCCCATTTAGAGGTGCGCTTACAGTCAGCTAATAATAAAAGGATCGATTTACTTTTTCTCCCCGAATCACATCACAATTCTTATAGAAAACGTCTCTCTTGTCTAATTACTCCTGCGGAAACTTTGTTTGGCAGGGAAGGGATTAACAAGAGGTTGCAAGTGACAGCTGCCAGCACCTCATCGCTTAACATACTGTGTAGCCTGTGAGCAAGGAATTAGCACCTTATGGTTCCATGTCTTGATCTCTGTAGCCTATATATGGGGAGGCAGAAAGGCAGGTATGCAAAAAGTATGGCCAGTGGTTCCATTTACAGGACTGTTTCATCAGCTCTACTTCTGTAGCCCCAAATTTTGACCACAGTCACCTTCTACCTTGTCAGGCCAGGAAACCCATTTTCCATCCTGTTCTGAAGCTCAGGCCATATCCACACCATTGAAAGCACTCTCATACCTTTAACCATCATGGTGAATCCTGGGAATTGTAGTGGGTTTTTTTTAAGGGTTCTGGCCACTGTAGCTTTTCTCAGCCTGGCACAGAGAATGATCTGTAACTGACCCTTGGACATGGTGTTGGGCTTTATGGGAGTTGTAGTCCAAAACATCTGGAGGACACCAGGTTGAGGAAGACTGACCTAGAGTAGGGATGGGGAACTTGTGCCTCTCTGGAAGAAACAGAGCACTCTGTCTTTCTCTGCCACTCACTTACCTGTGTGAAATTTCCCGTTGGGTCTCTTGAGCCCACAGCCTTGTAGAACAGGAATGGAGAACCTGTGAACCTCCAGATGTTGTTGGATTACAACTCCCTTAGTGCACCTATCCTATGGCCAGGGATGGTGGGAAATGTAGTCAACAGCATCTGGAAGCCCCCAGGTTTCAAATTCCTAGCCTAGAGCAAATTAAAAAATGGTGGTACTGTTGTGGAACCCAGCTTCATCCTCTGAGAAATCTCATGTCATATTGCAGCAGAACCCCAAGAGGACCTCAGCAGGGCTTGGTGAGAATTTTCAGAAAATATACGCACAAGCCAGGCCAAGTTCTTTGTTTCTGCTTAAAGCTGTGACTTGCCCTGCCAGTACTGTAGGAAAGGCAATGAATCTCTCCCCACCCCCTTTGTGAGCCACTAAGCTTACTCCAGGCACACTGGTGTGTACAATTATCAGTTTGTTAATTAGCTAGTCTAATTGACTAAAAAAAAGCAGATCCCTTAACAGAATTCGACATCTGCCCCTTTATTTTGTTTTACTACTCGATCTTTGCAAGAGAGCCAGCCGCAAAGCTAGTTCAAACCCAATATATAACAAGGGACTTCGGTGTCCTACCAGTTGGGTTAATCAATTTTTAAAAAACCTTTGGAATGGCTGAAAAGGTGTTCCCGTTTAATCAAGTAGCAGGGACTTTAGAAAAAATGTTTTAAGCAAGTGCTTATAAAAACTGGAAGTAGCTAGTGCCATCTTTAGAGGCAACCTCTCAGCTGTTGCCAGACAAGAGCAACTGCCTCCTGTAAGGCAATGCACACCACCTGAAAACAAAGAAAATACTTCAGAAATATTGTTTCGATTAGCATGCAAATTTGTGCAATTTAATTGATAACTAATTTAATTGATATAACTGTTAACATTTCGATAATTGGGTTGCAGCTCCATTAACTTTTAATACCCATAGCATACATATAGATCACATTTCAAGCACATCCCTTCTCAAACAAACAAACAAAACAAAACCATCCTAGGAACTGTAGTTTAAAGCCTTCCAGAGCTACAGTTCCCAACATCCTTAACAAATTACCGTTCCTAGGTGTGGGTGCACATTAGCAAACATCAAGCCTCTCTACAAATACTTTCCTCTTTTATACAGAGCAACGTTGCGCTAGACAAAAGCAGCACTTTTCCATGTAGGCCTTTGTGCCACACAAGCACTGCCTCCCAGATAGGACATAGCAGTTCTGGATCATGACTACAGTGGGGCATTTGCCAGTCTGCTTTGGAGCCCGGCATTGTGTTATCTGAATACACAGCTTTGGACTACCTACTTTTGGGTTAAGGCTTGTCTCCTTGCCAAGGCTGAACTCTTCCAGCTTGTACACCCTCTCATTATTATCCCAGGTTATATTTGTAGCAACCTTTCGAACACCCTGCATGAGTGTTTATGCCACCCTAATTTAAGGAATGGGATGTGGGTGGCACTCTGTAAACCACAGAGCCTAGGACTTGCCGATCGGAATGTCGGCGGTTCGAATCCCCGTGCCGGGGTGAGCTCCCATTGTTCAGTCCCAGCTCCTGCCGACCTAGCAGTTCGAAAGCACGTCAAAGTGCAAGTAGATAAATAGGTACCACTCCGGCGGGAAGGTAAACGGCGTTTCCGTGCGCTGCTCTGGTTCACCAGAAACAGCTTAGTCATGCTAACCACATGACCCGGAAGCTGTACGCCGGCTCCCTCGGCCTATAGAGTGAGATGAGCGCTGCAACCCAAGAGTCGTCCGCAACTGGACCTAATGGTCAGGGGTCCCTTTACCTCTACCTTTAACTTAAGGAATAAAGTACTTCACTTATGTACAGTTCCCGCAGCCATGCCTCTGGGAATTAGATATAGGCTCTGGGAATTAGATAAAAACAATTTTGCACCCAGGCTGAAAAGCGAACATGTGTCTATCCCATATCCCTTTGCTTTGAGAAAGTATGAGCAGCATCACTTCTACATAGGACGCCGCACTCATCCATTTGTGCCCAGGAGGACAGAGGGAGATACAGTACAACCCTATGCATCATGTCTACTAAGCCCCATTGAGTGCAGTGGGACTTAATCCTAGATAAATGGGAATAGAATTGAAGAATCACACTCTCTTCAAGATACCTACATCATTAGTATTTCAACCTTTGACAGGGAAATCAGTATTAAGCTACTACTGGATCTTTTGCTGCCTAACACTAAGATACTACTGATGCAGATGTTGCTTTTTTCAAACAAACAAACAAACAAACAAACAAACAAACAGGCTTTAAAAAATCACATTGAAATTTCCATTTTGCAGTTAAAAATCTTGTACGTTTTTTGCATGTCTATTTTTTTTTTTTGTCTTGTCTAAGAAGTCACCCAGATCTTGGATTCCTTTAGGTGCATACATTGCTTGATGGCTGTATCACCCTCTGGGTCTCACTGGGTTACATGATCCAGAGTTACAATGGGAAGGAAGAAATTAGTATTGCTGGGTCTGCTGACCCAGGCGGTTAATAATACAGCTGTTATCTCCTATTGCTGCACTTCTTCCAGGGCCCTTCAGGTTGCAGGCAGAGCCAGATAACCCACTTCCTGCATTTAGCCTGCACATCTTATCTTCTTCTTGGCTTTGTTATCTCCCTGCCGACTTTCATAGATGCTTCACTGTCCTGCTAGATCAGGCCAGCATCCTGTTTCCAAAAGTAGCCAGCCAGATGTTTCTGGGAGCCTCCCAAGCAGGGCATGGAAACAGCAGCCCTCCCTGGAATGTTTTTTGATCCGTCTCCAGAACTCTTGCATGTTTTCTCCTCAAGCAAGAGTTACGACAACAGGCTGCCAATGATGTGACCTCCAGCCCGTTTGGCCACCAAGGGGCCCTCTTGGCTGGGCCAGCTTGGCCTTAATGAGCTTAGTTCCCATGGCATAATGAAACGAGCCACTCTCTGCCGCTTCTTTTCTTTTGCTCTCCCTCCTGCAGGCTCCTCTGAACCTGCCAGGCAAGAGATTAAATCAACTGAAAAGATGCACACTCTCAGCCTGCCTTGCACTTGCCTCCTCCATTGCTTTCTGTCTCTGTTACCAGATGTTAGACCACTCTCTGGATTAGACAGATTTATTGGGGGGGGGGGTAGGTTCCAGCAACAGGCAGTGACCATGATAGCTAACTGTAGGGATGCTGGTGATAATGTAATTTGGTCCATGTTTTTAAGTGAACCAGCCTTAATCTACACTTCCCATACTGACAGTGCAGGCGCCCGTCACATTTTCCAGTGCAGGTATCAGGTTTTTTAAATAACAACAACAAAAACAAAAAGTGTTCCAAAATGCATATCTTGCAGGCTAAATGTATCATTGAGGGAGAAATGTGTACAAAATGCACGTTTTGGGGCAAAATGTGTGCCATTTAAATGCTCGTTTTTGTGCAGGCTTAAAAGCAGGAAGGGGATGGGTGGGACACAGGATAGAAATACAGTGGTACCTCGGGTTACAGATGCTTCAGGTTACATACGCTAACCCAGAAATAGTACCTCGGGTTAAGAACTTTGCTTCAGGATGAGAACAGAAATTGCACGGTGGCGGCACGACGGCAGCGGGAGGCCCCATTAGCTAAAGTGGTGCTTCAGGTTAAGAACAGTTTCAGGTTAAGAACGGACCTCCAGAACGAATTAAGTATGTAACCAAAGGTACCACTGTAACTTAACGGTTGAACACCTGCAAAACTGACATGGTCCGGAAATTGGTTGATCTGTCCCTCTCTAGCTAATTGGAACTTCTGTATCCTGAGAGAGGATGCTTTGGAATTCCAGTTGCTGGGGAATGAGCGCCGAGGGGCACCTGGTGCTTGCTTGCTTGCTTCCTTCCAAGAGCCACCTTGTTGCCCCTTGTGGGAGGCAGGTTGCTAGTCTCAATGGGCCTTTTGCAGACCTTTTCTGATATCCTCTGTGCTCCCTCCTGCAGGCCTCTACAATTCTATGGACAGCTGGATGATCGTCCCCAACATCAAGCAGAATCACTACACAGTGCATGGGCTGCAGAGTGGCACGAGATATATCTTCCTCGTCAAGGCGATAAACCAGGCTGGCAGCCGGAACAGCGAACCCGCCAGGCTCAAGACAAACAGTACGTGTCTCCAGGCATGCCTTTCTTCCAAGCAGCAAATGAGGAGGGGAAGTCATGGTGTGAATGGGTTGCATTCAAAGCTCCTTTACAGATGCATGGTTTGCTCAGGGCTGTAGTCTTAGCTCAGGAACCCCCCTGCAGTGTGTGTCACCTTTAGGGAACCCTGTCCATCTCGGCAATTTCTACAAAGTGGCCAGTTACCGTATTTTTCGCTCTATAGGACACACTTTTTCCCCTTCAAAAATGAAGGGGAAATGTGTGTGCGTCCTATGGAGCGAAGACGCCATAGCCCTGCGACCCTCTCCCGGCTGGAGAGGTGACGCGCGCCTATGGCAGGAGCCTCCATAGGTGCCCGTCACCTCTCCAGCCGGGAGAGTGCGCGCGGGGCTAAATAAGCCCCCCGTGACCCTCTCCCAGCTGGAGAGGTGACGTGCGGCCTATGGCAGGAGCCTCTCTGCTGCGCCTTTCCGCTGCTCCCTGACCTGCTCTTTGGGGCTGGTGGTGGGCTTCCCTCCACCAGCCCCAAAGAGCAGGTCGAAAGGAACCTGAAGCCTGGAGAGCGAGAGGGGTCGGTGCACACCGATCCCTCTCGCTCTCCAGGCTTCCAAGGTAGCCGCCTGAACGCACCTTAAACGCACCTTGTTTTAGAGCGGGAAAACAAGAGGGGGGAAATTCTCCCACTCTCTGCGCAGCGCCTCCTGCCGCTTCACTGAAGGGGTGCTGGGCAGAGAGGGAGAGTATTTTTTCCTTGTTCTCCCCCCTCTAAAATAAGGTGCGTCTTATTGTCCGGTGCATCCTATGGTGCGAAAAATACGGTATTCAGAACTCATTCCTAGAGATGCCCTGGTCCCTGGATTTTTGGCCGCTACTGAGGCTCCATGAACAATGGATCTCTGTTTAGGGATGCTGGGCTCACTTAGTGTCTCGATTTAGGCTGCATTGGGCTCCTTCTGTTGGCAGGATTGTTGTGGTCCCCAACTGCTGGCTTGCTAGTTCTTTTATGGTAGACGAAAGCAAGGTGGGGACAACGGCGAAGATACCCCTGCTGGCTGCAAAAGGGGATGGGAAGGCAGTGTTGGGATGAAATGCCCAGGCTAACAGAGATACATGGTGACATCCAAGGGCCTGACATACACTGGGCATGAGTAAATGGATGGTGAAAATAGTGCTGTTTCTCCATAAATTTCCACTTGGAACATTCTAGGTTCCAGACTCTGAACCATTCAGTGGCAGTGCTGGCTTAGGCTAATAGGAGTTGTAGTCGAAAACATCCAGAGGTTTCCAAGTTGGGGAAGGCTGAGTTCAAGGGTCTCTGCACATAGCTAGATGGATGCAGCAATTGTGCCATTATTATGACATTGACTTCCTCAAATTAAGGAAGTTCATGGGAGGGACGTTTCCCATGGGGTGTAGGAAGCTGCCTTGCACTGAATTAGGCCATTGACCCATCTAGTTCAGTATTGACATTCCCAGCCCTACCTGGAGATGTCAGGAATTGAACTTGGAATCTTCTGCATGCAAAGCTCTACCACAGAGCTAGGGCCCGTCCTCTTCTCCTTCCTTTCCAGGAATTCCCCCACTCCCCATCTCACTTTACTCAATAGGGACCCCTGTTCCTCCACAGAGGCATTTGGGGTGTCACAGCTGGCTGTATAGGGGAAGAGGAAACAGGAAGCTTTTCTTCTATGAATTTCTATAAGTTAACAGAGGATCCAAGTCACTAGACTTTTGACAGTAGTGTGAAGGTAGGCAATGCATGTAGGGAGAACAGAGGCAGAGATGGAAGGTGTCAGGTTGTACAAGAAATTCTGGTGCGCCATGCTCTGTCTTATAATTTGGCGCAGCCTTGCACAGCCAGCAGAAGCTGAGTTTTCTGTGGGGACCCCCCCCCCAATTTCCCAGAAGCTCTGCCTCTCTCTGTTTTGCTTGATGTTTCAATCCTGTCCTACCTGCTGTACTTGACTAGGTGTTTTAAAATGATTTATTGCTTCCTACCACTCCCATCACTCCCTGAGAAGGCACATTGCGTGGATATAAATACCAAATAAAACTTGCCCCGCATGTTGGAGACAAATGGCTCAGCTTTGATGAAAAACCAAACCATAGACCTCACTCTCTTTTTATGATTTTAATCACTTGGATTTTTGCGTGGGCTCCAAAGAGGATTGAATTGTTAGCTTGACAGATAAGCCGAGTGCTAACAGACCACCTCCGTCGGAGGGGAGTAAACATGCGTCAATAAATTGCTGAGAATTAAGGATATGGGTAAGGTGGGGTGGCTAGGCCAGCCGCCTTTTCTGCCAGTCAGCTGAGAGATTAGGATGCAGCTAAGTGCTCTGCACAGAGAAACTCCATTTGCTAGATTAACTGAGCACCCAATCAAAGGCTTGGTTCAGATTCTTTGCTGTGGATCTGTCAGCTTTTGACTTCCTACGCTTGTCAAATAAGGAGCAAGAGATTTCAAGAACGTGCTGCTGAAATTCCAAGCCTAGCGATTATATTGCCGATTTGAAATAAAGAGTCTTGTGGCAGAAACAGTGCTGCTCCTCACCCCCACCCACCCCACCCCGCTGTCACGCCAGGAAGATTGCTTGGCCATTGAAATTACTGGCATCTTCCAGCCCCCGAGGGGATGAGTAGAAGGGCATTCGAATGGAGAGATGCATAATCACTATTGTGGCTCTCCAATGTTACCCGGCCTCTTAATTAAAGTTGTTCCAAGGGCTCCTGCAGGACACATCTGCAAGAAAGAGTTCCACAAACTAGAAGGGTACTTTGCCAGATGCCAGGATCTTGTGAAAGGTAGCTTGGCCATTTTCCTTTGGGATGATGTTCCTAGGTGGGCTGCAGATGCTTGCATTTGATTTTCTCTCGGGGTAACTGGATAGAAAGCAAAGAGTAGTTGTTCCATTGAGACCATTCTGAACTCAAGGAGCAAGATTTGCTCAACTGAGCCATTCATACCCAACCCAAAGCTTTCCTATGCCTTAATTTCAAGCACTCCCAGTGCTTGCTTTTCCCAGAAGGCAGGATTTGAATTATGCATGGGCAATTGGCAGGGCACTTTGAACTGTTCTCTGCATGCCATCTTGTGACTATTGCTGAACCACCGCATCTTTCTTGCCATTGGTAATTGGGAGAGTAGGATACCTACTTATCATCATGTTTAGAAGATATGTTTTCCCCTCCTTGAAATAAACCCTGCCATCCAATCCTGCCACATACCTCCTGTTTTTGTACTTGTGGCTTGCATTCATTTATGTGTTTAGTATTTTTCATCTTTTCCTAAAATATTGTCTTCACTGCACTCCAGGGAAGAGTGCTCACAGGCACTCTTGCAATATCAAAAGTCTGTAAAAGCCATTGATAACAGGAAGGAAAAAACACATAAAATAAACATTCAACAGCTTTAATGCTCAAAAGCCCCCCACCCTCAGTAGATGAGTCTGACAGCTCCCCACCCCCACAGAAAACCAACAGAGATCTGCTCAGGTGGGCTTTGTCTGCATGTCTGCTTTTGTTGAGCAATAGAAGTATTCTGTTATTGCCCCTCCAGAAAATGCACATGTACACTCTCCTGTCATATAATTGTTCAAGAATTTGCAGAACTCGGCTACGACTGAAGTCAGTAACTCCACAAAGCTCAAGAACACCCTCGAGGGGGAGATGGCATGCTGCAGTACCAGCTGGGCTCAGAGACCTGCCCGTTATCATCAGCAGCATATTAACCAGGATAGGTTCTGAGGAACTCTTGAGATGTGCAGCTGCAGATGGCCAAAACTGGCAGATGGGCGGCGGCCCCGCCCACCCCCTCGGAACAGCCTGTCTGGTGGTGCTTTCCTCGGGTTGCACAGTCTTTCCCAATGTGATTGCAGTGGAGATGGTGGCTGAAATGAATCTTGTGAAGTGGGTGGAGAAATAGATCTGCCCAACAGCCCCACCCCCATGAACCAACGTCAGGTGTGGAGCAGATAGAATTCTGATGGAAACAAGAGTTGGTATTTATGGTTGCTGCCTTCTGCCTCCAAACAATACATAACTGATTATATGTCCCCCCCCCTTATTATTTTTTGCATTGTGTTTTCTATGCATTGAAATGAGTGTGGTGGAATAACGTAATGGTAATGTAACTTAACAGAATTTCTATAATAAGTTGCATAGATTAGGTAACTTTGCCACAGCAGGGAGCAAGATGAATAAAGTGGATTTTTATGGAGGACCAACTGCAGAGGCATGGAAACAGTGCTGCATGCCATGAATACAGGACAGACCTGAAAATGATGCTATCTTACATCCTTAGGGGGCAGGTGGGCATAGTTTAGACTCATGCGCTGGAGATTCCCCACTGCTGTCATGAGGATTTCTTTTACTGGAGCTGACCAAAGTTCCAACCAGTGCTGCATTCTGTCTCTTAATGGAAGGCTTTAAAAAGAGGGCTAGAGAAATTCATGAAGAATATGGTCACCTGTCTACTAGCCATGATGCCTACGTTCTACCTGCACTGTGGTAGGCAGTATGTCTCTGAATGCCAGTTGTTGGTAATGACAAGTGATCACAAAGCTCATATCACAAAGCTTGGTAATCACAAAGCTCATACCAATAACAAACTTAGTTGGTCTCTAAGGTGCTATTGGAAGGATTTTTTTTTGTTTTGTTTCAACAAGTGAGGAGAGCTGTGTTGATCTCGGGTCCTACTTGTAGACTTCCCATAGGCTGACCACTGTGAGAATAAGATGCTGGGGAAGACGGGTGGATTGTTAAGCCAAACTGAGAATTTTAACTCCATGAAGGGACTCTTCATAGTCTCTTTGCAGACTACAGTTCCCAGGATTCTTTGGGGGAAGCCGCGGCAGTTTGAAGTGGCATTATTCTGCTTTAAATGTGTAGTGCGGACGGGGCCACTGTCTTAAGCAATGGAATATTCCCCCCTCCCACTGTTCTGCACAGGTTTGGAAAGTGTGCACTTTGATGGCTGAGGGCTGAGTCTTGCCACGGTCGCCTGGCAGAATCTACAAAAAAAGCCCCTCATTTTCTGCCTTTGATTGGTTTCTGCAGCCTGAGCCTGCATGTGAGGAAAAGTCCCTTGAAGGCGAGACCTTCCATCGGTGCTGGAAAAATTACTGTGAAGCCGCGAAGGCGTGCTTTCCTGTAGGATGTAATAACAGAGCGTCTGTTGTGGGGAGTGACTGTGGATGTGGGCGAGAACGACTAAATGATGCATTGATGGTCTCTGCCGCTCTGTAAGACTATTACACCAGCACTTAAGGGGGCTGTGCTCTCCCTGCAATGTGCCTGAATAACTCCCATTAATGTTAATAGAGAATAAAGCCCTTAAGGAATTCACTTAGATCCGACTTTCGCCTGCTTTGCTGGGTCTCCATCTCCATTTCTGTCCCTTGCACAAATATCTCCCTGGCTGTCTGTTAGCAACCCCAGAGCAGAAAGATCTGTCTTTAAAAATGTGAGGAGGCTGTAGCTCAGTGGCAGAGCATCTGCTTTGCAATGCAGAAGGTCCCAGGATCAGTCCCCAGCATCTCCAGGTGGGGAGAGACTTCTGCCAGGAAGAAATAAAAGAAGCAATAGAAATACAATTGAAAATCAACATTAATGTTTAATACAATGGACGTGTGCCATCTCCCTTCTTCAACTACAAATCAACAGACACATGTGGACCACCTGGATGAAGCTTAGACTTGATAGATATATTAGCCCTGTTGGATCTCTGGAATGGAGAAATGACCAGGATGGTGGACATGATCGCTTCTGATCATCCCCTCTCATGAAGTGGATCCAAACCAGCCTCCTGGTTCTCTGGGGAGCTAGTGACAATGAATTGCATGAGACGGCAACTAGAGTGATGTTGGTGGAGTCTCTTTGAAGACCTATTCTGTAGCAGTGTGAACTGTGAATAAACCTTTTTCTCTATGCCTCCATTGCATCAGTGAGGAGCTGTCCAGCACAGCTGTTTTCAGTGCTCAGGGATCTTTTACACTCTGGCCCACATAAGGAGAATTTAGACCACTTGAAGGCCTGCTGTGAACAATTTGCTCAGCACTTCTATGACAAAATCACCCTTCTGACTTGGATACTATAGTTGATACAGGTCTGGTGGATGTAACTTTGGCCTCTGCTTGTCCAGTGTTAATGATACATTCCAATTTGTACAGCCTGAGGATGTGGACAGGATCCTTAGAAATGTGAGAACAAATGGAAACTTAATTCAAATAGGACGGGTGCTCTTGGTCAGCTGGAAGGCAGAGCAGGGAATAGGGATTCAGCCTAGGCTGGATGGGGTAGCCCTCTCCCTGAAGACACAGGCTTGCCATTTGGGCTTGCTCCAGGACTCAGCCCTGAGCATGGATGCCTAGGTTTCTGTGGTTGCCAGGAATGCACTTGTACAGTTAAAGCCAGCTGCGCTCATTTCTTGAGATGCCTGATTTGGCCACATTGACACATAAAATCGTAGAGTTGGAAGGGACCATGGGGGTCATCTAATCCAACCTGCTGCAATGCAGGAATCTTTTGCCCAACGTGGGGCTCGAACCCATGACAGTGTCATACTCTACTGACTTGAGGTATCCCAGCATGCCTTAGTTACATCCCTTTGGTCTACTGTAACATGTGGAGCTGCCTTTGAAAAGTGCTCAGAAACTTCAGCTGGCTCAAAGAGCTGCAGCCAGATTGTTGACCAGGGCTGGTTATAGGGAGCCTTCTATAGTCCTAAAGTGGGCACTTGCATTCCCTTCCTTAAAGCCAAGCCAACAGGGACAATAGTTCTGATTGGAAATGAAACAAACAAACCTGGGAGTTTTGGAACTCCTTGTCTTAGGAGGCTCATACACCTTCTCATCCAGCCTCCAGAAATACTGCATTACCCATATTTATTTATGCTACTGCCTTATCCCCAGAGCATGTTTATGATTATTCAACCTTTAGTAAGCTATCTTCTCATAAATTGGTTTTGTTTTTTGTATGTATGTATGTATGTATGTATGTATGTATTTTTAGAATATTTGTACCCCACCCTTCAGCCAAAAAAGGCTCCCTGAGTAGCTTAAAGGTAAAGGTAAAGGTACCCCTGCCCGTACGGGCCAGTCTTGACAGACTCTAGGGTTGTGCGCCGCCCATCTCACTCAAGAGGCCGGGGGCCAGCGCTGTCCGGAGACACTTCCGGGTCACGTGGCCAGCGTGACAAAGCTGCATCTGGTGAGCCAGCGCAGCACACGGAAACGCCGTTTACCTTCCCGCCGGTAAGCGGTCCCTATTTATCTACTAGCACCTGGGGGTGCTTTCGAACTGCTAGGTTGGCAGGCGCTGGGACCGAGCAACGGGAGCGCACCCCGTCGCGGGGATTCGAACCGCCAACCTTTCGATCGGCAAGCCCTAGGCGCTGAGGCTTTTACCCACAGCGCCACCCGCGTCCCTATCCTGAGTAGCTTACAATCAATTAAAATAAAACTTATCATTACAATTATTACTATGGTTGTAAGCAGCTCTGGGTTCCTCCTTTGGGCTCTGAAAGTGGGAAATAAGCAAAGCAAGCAAGCTGCTGGGAGGGGTGGGGGCCTCTGTACCTTTTTAAAGTTTCGCTTTGCCCTGCGTCACCTTCATTCTCTTTCTGGTCCTCATAGGCCAGCCCTTCAAACTGGACCCCAAAATGGCACACAAGAAGCTGAAGATCTCCAATGACGGGCTCCAAATGGAGAAGGACGAGAGCTCCCTGAAAAAAAGCCACACTCCCGAGAGGTTCAGCGGGACAGGATGCTATGGTGCCACAGGCAACATTTTCATTGACAGCGGCTGCCATTACTGGGAGGTGACAGTCGGCTCCTCCACATGGTAAGTGGCTCTGCTGTTGGTGCTGAGCCTAACCTAGAATAAGCAGGGACACGGTGCCCGGGAGGAAGAAGGGGTGCGCCTGTCTCCCTTTCGTTTACTCGGAGAGCTGAGTCACCAGGCTTATAGTCCAGGCATAGATTGCTCGTTTATTGTGCCCATCAGCAAGGAACTTGCTACTTCCCAACGGCCCTGCCAGCCCCTTTGCAACACCCACGTAGGGGCAGCAGAAGCTGTTGGGAACTGCTCTTGCTTTGAAAACGCATACCTCTAAGAATGCCGTTTTCATCAAGTCTCTTTCGCCGAAGGGCTTCATTTAAAAGCACACGTCGGCAGCGAGAGCAGCGCAGGCTGTGTGTGTACTCTTCCAGGTACGTGAGCCTCGGCGCTGCTCACTCTGCGCTGCAGGGAGGGAGGGCACATATAATTGAGCCAGGGAACGGCTGCTGTGATTCAAAGCGAGCCTCGGGGCATGTGTCACACAGAAATGCATTGATCAAAGGCACAGCAGGGGGTGGGCAGGGGGGTGGACTTGCATCTTCCAATGGTTACCACTGAAACATAGTCTCTTCTCTCTCTCTCTCTCTCTCTCTCTCTCTCTCTCTCTCTCACACACACACACACACACACACACACACCAGTTTTCCAATTGAATTGCCCTCCTCTGAGCCAGCATCCATTCTTATTTTGTCCCCACCCGCAACAAAAAGCGCTGCGTTCTACCTGGTTGGTCCATGGCCAGAGAACCACTTCAAATTTTGCGCAAGCCCATTGTTTACACATTGCTCTCATTGCATGTATTGTCACTGAGCCTTAGCTAGGTGCTTCAGTGGTAAGTTTGATCAATGGGTTTGGATTTGTAACCTGCCTACAAAGGCTTAGAGTGGGGAAGGACTGCAGCTCAGTGGCAAAGCATCTTCTTTGCATGGAGAAGTTCCCAGTTTCACTGACCGGCATCTCCAGGTAGGGCCGGGTGAGACAACAACAGTATAGTTGGATGAAAACAAGCAGCTTATTTGAGTTGCACGATTGAGATGGTTCTCCATTTTCAAAAAGAGAGTGGGGATTTAGAATCTGGTCTTCCCTGGTTGAAGTCCAGCGCCTGGGTTGCATGCACAGCATATATTTAAAGCACGTGACTTCTCCCAAAGAATCTTTGGAACTGTAGTTTGTTAAGGGTGCTGAGAATTATAGCTCCGTGAGGGGTAAAATGCAAACTCCAGAATTCTTCAGGGGAAATCATATGCTTTAACTGTATGGTGTGTACACAGCCTTAGACTCTGTGCCAGACTGATTGAATTGATTTAGACAGCAATACCCTGCTCACTTACCTGGAAGTAAACCAGGTAACTTGAATGGGCTTACTTCTGGGTAGACATGGTTAATTTTAAGATTGCACCACCAGCCCATGACTTCCAGTTCTTATCTCTTGTTTCAGCTAGTCTCTTGAATACCACTGTTTGTTTTTTTGCCTCTCCAGGTATGCAATTGGCATCGCCTACAAATCAGCCCCCAAGAATGAGTGGATTGGCAAGAACTCCTCCTCCTGGGTCTTCTCCCGCTGCAACAACAACTTTGTGGTGCGGCACAACAACAAGGAGATGCTGGTGGACGTTCACCCGCAGATGAAGCGCCTGGGCATCCTCCTGGACTATGACAACAATGTGCTGTCCTTCTACGACCCGGCCAACTCTCTCCACCTGCACACCTTCGAGATATCTTTCATCCTGCCGGTCTGCCCCACCTTCACGATTTGGAACAAATCTTTAATGGTCATATCAGGTCTGCCCGCCCCAGACTTCATAGACTACCCCGGGCAGCAAGAATGCAACTGCCGCCCGCAAGAGTCCCCATACGTATCAGGGATGAAAACCTGCCATTGAGTCAGAAAGGGCCTTCCCTTCCAGCCCAAGCCTCAGGAACTTCTGTGCAACTAGGCTGGGAGGTGGGCTTCTGCTTCCTTTCGTGGTGAGCAGCATCTTGCCACACTGGGCTAGCTTATATCCTAAGGAAAACCCACCTCTTTGGCACACCCTCTTGGAGGAGTGTGGGTGGTGTTTCGTGAACTGGATTTTGTTTTTGTTTGGTAGCACTACTGAATTTTCTCCGATGGGAGTTGGCATGCCTTGTTCATTTCTGGTGGGGAAAAGGGTGTCATGGCAGGGCTTTGGGTGGGTCGGTCCCTTCTTGGTTGCCAGGAAGTTGCAAAGCAAGACCCTTTTTTCTTTTTCTTTCTTTTTCTTTTGTGTGGAAAGAGTGTTCTTGGAACACCTAGTAGTTCCCAGCCCGCCATTTTGAGAGGGTGCCAAACAGAATTGGAACCCAAGCTGTTACCTAGAAAAGACAAGATTGTCACACATATTTAGCGTCACAGGTATCAATCTTAGAGATGGGTCGTCTTGCCCACCTGCAGGTGTTGCCTCCATGCGTTTGGACTGTGTGTGGAGGAGGAAATGGGACCACAGCTGATATACCCACTCACAATACTATATACCTGGGTCTGGGAACTCAGCACATGGTCTGCAAAGGGCCATAGGCCTTCTGTGCCATTGGAGCTCTGATCACATGAGGACCTACACAAGTACTGCTGTGTTGGCTCCTCAGGCATTGCACTGAGCATGCATATGGCAAGCAGCTCCCTGGGGTACCCGTTTCAGGGACGGAACCAACAAGCAAAGTCCTACATACAATCCTCCACACATCACCTCCAGCCACCTCTGCGAGGTCACAGTTTCCTTCATCACTGTGATAAAAGACATGGAGGCAACATCTGCAGAGGATTATTGTATAAATGGACTGTGTACATGCTGGAAAGCCTTGGCGAGTCGCAGCAAGTCCATGCATGTTCACCCCGAGTAGGATCTGGTGATCCCATGTGGCATTTTACTGGCAGATTTATTTTGTTCCCTGAGCAGAAGTGCCTTTCATGTAAGGGTTTTGTGAACGTATGAAACAGTCCATAGTATCACAAGGAACATGCTATGTTCAGAAAAGGGGTGGCGCAGTCCACGAAGCCTGAAAGACCATGACTACTGTGCCATATCTGGCTTCTGAGATGCAGTTGTGTCTCCCTTTGCTCCCTGGACAACAGGGACTATTTCAAGCATCTGTCTGAGTTTGGCAGGAGCTTCACCACAGGGAAAGGGGGTGGTTGTTTTAAAAAACCCGCGCACATTTAAAACATAAGAAGGAAAGTTTAGCGCACACTCTAGTCCAGTGGTTTACTTGTTAACATGGGATCCCAACTGGTAGAGGCTACTTCTTTGTCCAGTGGCTCCTGCTTCTTTCAAGACCATATCCTGTGTGTAGCAAATGTCGTCACTGGCTTTCAGTCTGCAAAGAGTATCCTAGAACCTTTAAAGCACAGCCAGGACCTCCTTGTTGTTTCCAGAGACGTTGTGCCAGATGACACAGCGACCCAAAGAAGGGGCTTTGGGTGGGAATTCTAGGCAAAAGCACTGGATGGAGCAGAGTGAAAGGTATTCCCCCTTTGCCCAGCATAAGCGGAGGGAAGATGGCACTGTTTATGCTTTCTTTTCGGGAGTGGCTGGTGTTAGTTCTGTGGCCTGTAGCAGTAGAAGAAAGCAAACAAATCCTAGGAGTGGAATGTACAGGCTCAACTCCTGTCAGTTTCAGACCCTGTGCCCAGCAAGTGGGTGGCATTCCTCTCTGCGAAATCGGTAACTGTAAGATGGTAGCAACGGTGCTTAGATGGCCTTAAAGTGGGCTTAGTTAAATTTAGTTTTTGTTGCCTCAAGGCTACTGGCAGGATCCTGAGGCACGCTCTTGTGTTTGCTGCTGAATTTATCTGCCAGATTCACAAGGCATGACTGCCTTTCAAGTTTTTCTTTCAATTGTATTATTGATATGGAGCTCAGCTTTAAAAACAGAGGTTTTTTTTTGTTTTGTTTTGTTTTGTTGTTTTGTTTTGTTTTGTTTTGTTTTGTTTTGTTTTGTTTTGTTTTGCTTACTCCAGAAAGGAGATCTAGAGCATTGGTTTTCAGCTGGTGGGTTGAGATTCCCTTTTGGATCTGATCTAAGATGGGTCACAACAGCAGCACCAGTACCATGCAAATAAATGACAGTGTATATAGATATATATAGATTATTATTTTTTAAATCCCCAAATGCATGTTTGGGTTAAGATGGGTCCTGGGTCTGGAAAAGTTGAAGACTACTTACCTAGGGAATAAGTGAACCTAGAAAACACACACACACACACACACACACACACACACGACCGCCAAAAGAAGAAGAAAAGAATCCACATCCCCATAATGATTTTGCATTTGGAAATCCAGGATCACTTTCCTTAATGCTAATATACAGTTATTCTTTTATCACTTTCAATTCCATGGTGCATGGTTTTGCACAGAATCCAATAATCTGGCTTGAATTTCTGAGTATCTCAGCTTTCTTTGAGAAAGGGGGATAAAAGGGTAACTAGCCACCAAATAGTAGTCACAGAAACATTTGAAAGCATGGGAACGAAAAAAATCTACAGAGATTGCCACAATTTGAGAGGTAGAATACTCATTATTGGCTTTTCTTTCTCTGCCATGTGTCCTCCAATTGTGCTTCTGGACCACAACAGATCCTCATGTCTCCTTGCATTACCCACTTTCTGGGAACATTCCCCTCCCCTGCCACACACACACACACACACACACACACACACACACCAAAAAGAAAAGAACACCTTCTGGAAATTCCCAGTGCTAGGATTGAGCTACTAAAGCTGGGACATTATGCAAGATAAGGAAGCGCTCTGTTCAAACGTAATAATGCATTTGCATCAAGAAACAGCACAATCTAAAGTCAGAGTAAATTATGCAGAGTTTGTGGGGAGGGAGTTGGATATCTTATCTGAACAGCAGCATCTGTGCTGGGGGGTGTTCCACTCCTCTCCTTTTCATCCATCCCCTGAACATTTTCTTTTCTTGAAGGGAAGAATTTGCTCTCTTTCCCTGCCCCTCCCCTTTTACTGTCTGTTAACACAATATGGCATTCCAGGTGTGTGTCAGGCATGGTGGGAGAAGTGAGTGTGGTGTTTGCCAGCAGACCAAGGTGGAGGATTCAGGAGTGACCTCCAGCTCATCCATCCTTGGCTCCCAGGGGGAATGGATTAGTGACCTCCCTAAAATAGGATTGCCATACACCCGGAATTTTGCAGACATACCTGGAATACTGCATTTTGAAGCTCAACAGCTTTGTCAAAAAAAGAAAGAAAGAAAGAAAAAGCTCAACAGCAGATTTTCACTTTTTGAAATATGGCAATCCTAACTAAGGCAGTACCACTTTGGAAGGTGAGTCCATGGACTAAATGCTCCTCCATACAAATTCCCTGGATGTGCACAAAAAAATGTGCCAGAACTTGTCTCTCTAACATGCTTGTTTTGGTTTTTTCTTTTGGTTTTGTTTCCTTTTTGTTGTTTTCTGTTTTGTTTTGTGGATTGCCTACCTGAGGCCCACAGTAGTGCAGCTCAGACAGCAAGCAGCCTGTCACTGCAGTGGGGAGAAGGAATTATCTGCCCAGTAAGAGCAGATTAACACTAAAGGCCTTTCGAGGAAAAGATATGCTTTACCATTTATTTAACTTTTTTTTTTTAAGAAAAATATGATTAATCAGACCGGCAGGTTTCCCGGGGTGGGTGGGAGGGAGGGTTTGGGGGAAGGGAGAGTCATCCTAAAGAAAGCCCCAGTCTGTATTTTGCTTGGTTTTCACAACCTCAATGAATGGTTCTTTGCGCAGAGGGGTGGTGGTGGATGCAGGACTCCAAACATTGGACTCCATCAACCTCAGAGCCAATGGTCTAGGTTGATGGGATGGTGTCAAGCATTATTTGGAGAGCCACAGCCCCCTACCTAAACACTAGAGCTGCTTTAATGAAGGCTTGGGCTTACAAGAAAAGAGGCAGTGTAGATGACTGCTACTGTAGATAATGCATGCTCTAAAGTCAAGAGGTGACCAGTGATGGGGGGTCCTGACATGACCTTTTGCGACCTGTCTGGACTGTTTTGCACTGCCTGTCTTCCCTCTGCCATCCAAGAGGCTCGATTCCCTACATCACAGGCACTTTTCTTTGGGACCCCATTTTTGTCATTCTGTCCTTCTGCCTCTTTTGTCCATTGCAGCATCTCACAGCCCATGCAGTTGCTCTTGGGGTTTTGACTGTGAAGGCCTTAGAGCACCTCCAAAGGGTCCAACCCAGGGCCTTGACTGATTCCAGCTCTCTCGGGGCAAGCGGGGAATGTTTTTCTGAAGCTGGCTGCTGTGGTTGCAGTGAGGGATGCTTTTTCATCAACTCTGAATTGCCTGTGCTAATGGCAGCAGGGTGATAATAGCTTCTCCTGGGAGCAGGAGATCAGAATGAGCTGGAGCGCTTCCCTTGCACAGTGTTTTCTACATCTCTTAAAGAGTTTTTGAGGCTGGCTACTTTAATGAAAGCAGGAGAGCACACTGCAGCTGCAAGCAAATGACACCTCCCTGTCATGTGTTGGGAAATTGTGTTTCTGTGTGCAAGCATCTTTGGAAATAAACATCTGCTCAGACCACTGGTGAGAAGGAACAGGCTGGGCGTCTGAGAGCATCACAAGCCAGTCACACAGGCATTTGCACCCTCACTTCCTCTTTCCTTCTCCAGCCAAATGCAGTGAGAACAAATAAAAATCATCACCTGGTGCTTCAAGTCTTGTCTTCTCTCTCTCTCTCTCTTGGAGTGGCTGGTCACAACATTCCAGCTCAAAATGCCTGCATGTGTGGCTGGCTAAGGTTGCGGTGACAGGGCGGGCTTGTTTTCTGATCGCCCCAGCGGCACTGATGAGGACTACCAGAGAGGGCACATGGCCTCCATTAGGGCCTTAGCACAAGGACCATTGAGCATAGCACTTGATCAGTTTTACACTGATTAAAGTGGCACTGGATAGAGCCAGTCTTCTGGCAGGCAGCGGAAGGGAAGAGGCAACGGGTGGTGATGGCTGAGTGGTGATGCTTATGACTTTGGTCCAGCTAGTAGGAAATGTCTATTTCCTTTGCCTTGTCTGCTAGGACCCAAGCTGCAGCTGTGTTTTGTACCAGCAAATATATGAGGGAAAGGGAAAGGTACCTGCATCTTCCTCCATCACTATTTTAGCAGTGCGCTCAGTTTGGGGAACTTCTCCAGCGGCTTTTGGCTTCATAACTTCAGGCCAAATCTGCACCATGCATTTAAAGCATGTGGTTTCCCCTAAATAATCCTGGAAGCTCTTGATTACCCCTCCTCACAGAGCTATAGTTCTCAGCACCCTATAGTTCCCAGAATTATTTGGGGGGAAACCATGTTAAGTGTGCTTTAAATGTGGATGCAACCTCAGTCCCTAGCAGCCAGCCTGCATGTTAATTGCTCCACACCTAACATGTAGCATCCTCTTGATGTGGAAACACCCAGTGGTGCTTATGAGAGAGTCTGTGTCCATGACAGAAATCCCTGGGACCAGAGGGCTGCGTACTATTGGCATGGGGGGGGGGACTATTGCATAGAGTTTCCATGTAGCAGAACCACTGGAAAGTGACTCATGCTATTGTTCAAGCAGTGCATAGCCCACTCTTTAGGGAGCTGTCTGATTGGTGGAAACAGCCCAGTGTTAAACGTGAGACAGCATCCCCCCGCCCCTCGGCCAATAGCAAGGCCCTCAGTGCTTCCTAGAGTCATAACATGGTGCACTTCTGCATTCAACCCCTGCTTACTTCGGTGGGGTCAAAAAAGTGAAGTAATTTGGAGCCCACTTAAAGAGCTTTTCTCCCTGGAGACATCTGTTGGCTCTTCCCTGACCCCTAACCCTGTGCTGCACTTGGCTACTTGTATCATGTTAGCTGCATTGTAATCTGATTTTGGGGATGTGGTGAAATTTTGGTTACCGTGAAACCTGTCGGACTTTCTTTTCATATGTAACATAATTGGGGGTTTTGCAGCTTTTTTGTTAATGTGTATATATAAAATATAAATATATATATATATATACATAAAATATATAATATATATGTATACGTTCCAGGTGTGTCTTTGTGTGGAGCAGAACATTGGGCATTTGGGCTAAATTGTGTGGTTATATTTCAGGTGCAGACATTTCATCCCCTGATGGCAAAAGGCATGCTCAAGATTAACCAGTGTTAAACGTGACGGTGTGGACACAAACACACACACACACATTCGCCAATTGGTTCTCAGCACTTCCTGTGTTCTTCTGCCCGCTCCATGTTGGCGGGATCAAAGAGGTAAATGGACAGCTCTGGGTTTAAAGCAGCTTCCTAAATATCCATAGCATCCTTCTTGTTCCAGACTCCCCATCCCCAGATCAGAGCAGGCAACTAGGAGTGTCCTCAGAGCACCAAATCTTTTTCCTTCAAAGAGGTCTTAGTCCTTAACTCTTAGTATTGGGACTTTTCTCATCATCGAGCTTTCCCTGAATTTCCTTCTCCCTTTCCTCCTCCCCTTGATATTTCAACTATTACGCTGCTACCGTTGCTGCTGCCCCCCCCCTCCAGCTTCTAAGGAGTAAGAGAGGGTCCCAATCCAGCTACATCAAGCCTCTGCCAACCCCTAGCCACAGTCAACATCTGATAGTATCCAAATAGGAGGAATGATTCAGAGGCCTCTCTCGTGTTGAAATCAACAACAACTCTTTTTTCCCCCATGCTGGCTCAGTGTGACTTGTGGCAGCACAGCCTATTTTGAGCATGTCAGAAGGGGCTCCATGTTTGGATTGATGCAGAAGAGCTGCTAAATACTTAAAGGGCACAATGCCCATGAGACAAATTTGCATATACTATTTTATATGATAGATGTTTCTGGGAAATAATATGGTGAATGCCTGGGGCACTGCACTTTGCAGTATGTCCCCAACTGCTCCATATGGCAGAGTAAAACACACACACATACAATTAAGTTTAAAAAAGGAGAAGGGGCAAGAGATTTAGGGCCTGCTGGATAAAGCTCCCTGAGCCGCCCTGTTTTGATGTACGCACATGTAGAATTCCTCTGCAGGAGAGGGCATCCACCTGCTTTCCCGCTTGTGCTGTGAAGCTCTACATTGGTACACACATTGAACTGCTCCTGACATGCTTTGGATTGTAGAAGCACAGCAACCAAGGGTGAGAAGGTGTTGGCAGTAGCAGCTGGTGTGCAAGGGCAGCAGCGCTTACATGACCTCCCATCACTGGAGTCACTAGTCCTTTCTGTCAGAGGTGAGGTGGTAGGGATTTTGGCACAGTACTCCCTTTCACATGTTTGCACCATGCAATTCTCCCTCCTAGAACATCGCAGTGATGGGACCTTTAAGTATGTGCCACTGCCCCTCCACACCAAGCGCTAAGGGGTGCAGGGCTAGCCCAAGCACACATCCCACTCACATACAGGGGTGTGTGGTTATCTGAATTCCCCTAGCATTGATACCTGAAGCTGTGTTCTCTGCCCACCTTAAGAAAGGCTTGCAGAATTAGCCCGAAGACCTATCTAGTCCAGCATCCCATCTCATGCAGTGGCCAACCAGGTGCCCCAGGGAAGCCCATAGGTAAAGTGTGAGGGTTGCTCAAAGCGATCTCTTTCTGGGTCCTTTGGAACTTACAGGATGGGTGGGAGGGGCAGGGAAAGGATATGTCTCTCCCAAGAAATGTTTCTTTTAATGTGCTCTCCA